CCCTTGATATATCAATAAATAACTCCTGAGGAGAGAAATTAAGGGAAGAAAAAAAAATCACCCATTTCAAAATCACTTTTAGGAGATTGAAACATTCAGGGGGCACTTGGGTGTGTGTGTAAATATGGACACACAGGATCTGCAAGTTCACTGGAGCTGCAGCTGTGTGGCTGTGCTTTCTCCAGGCTCCCCACCCCCTATCCCTGCCTCAGTTTCTGAATCTTCTTCCTGAGCTTTGGACTCCCAAACATTTGGATTCTGATATTAAAGAAAGAGAACCAGAGACCTTCAGCCTGAGAACTCCTCGGAGCTTGCTTCTCAGATCTGCCACTAACACAAACCACCTGCAGGAGTAAGAGCCAGCTTTCAACATTGTTTTCTTTGGACAAAGTGTTTCACTTTTCCTTCATCTGCAAGCTTATGTCTTGTAAACTGCTGAACTGGTATTCTTCTGTTCCCTTTTAAGCCTTGTGATGTGGCAACTTTTACGTGACACCCTCCCCAGCCCCGACGCCCATCTTCCTCTCCCAGACTGATTCACTTACCTCCTCTATAACCAGTCCTCTCCCTACCACGACCACTTCCTTTTATTATTTGGGGGAAATTGGGGAATTTTTCTGGTTTCCAGGGGTAATTTCTGTGGTTAGACTTTAGGGGCCTCTGGCCCTGCACTTCCAGACATAAGGCATCTGGGTGTGAGTCTTAGCCAGCATGGAATTCCCTCAATGTCCCGTGTCTTGTGTGACTGCAAAAGGAATAAATATTCTTTAAGTTGAAACGTCTCGTGGTCCAAGGATCTGGTGCCACTTACCACTGAAATCTGTGGCGATTGATTTCTTGACTTCTTTCACTAACCCGTCATGGACAATATTGTTACAGATGATTATGTTAGTGATATGAAGAACAAATCTCAGTAGCATCAGAGAGGTCTTAAAGTGAAAACATCAGGAGGCAAACCACATCTTCAGTCACTGGCTGGACACGGATAGCTTGAGGCGTTTGGCCAGCCCTAAAGCATAGCTTTATAAACTACTGAAAACAACCGGCCAAGAAGCCGAGTGATGACAGAGGTCGATATGAGCAGCTACGTATTCAGTCACAAGCATATGTGTCCTATATAAACTGGTAGAGATGTTACCAGGCCCCTGGGTCACCAGGCACTTCAACTCAGAGGAAAAATGGTGAAACGACAACTTTCTGAGCTTAGTGGGATCAGTAAAGAGAATATGGGAGATGGAAGATATGACATTATTTTAAAAACTTAATAAATCATCATGTCTTGTAGCTGAGAGATTAATCAAGGAACTTTAAGAAAATGTAAAGCATTGAATTCACATGCAAATAAACTGTTGAAGGGTATCTCAATGAATTTTACTATGGTCATTTGTTATGTTAAAATGTTTCCATATGAACCTGAGAGCCATTGGTCAGAATACCAGATTACAAATGTCACCATTTAATTTTCAGTGTCAGTAATAACTCCGTTTCCCGGTTTAGAAAACTGAGAATTTCCATCCTTGACAAGCCTAATTGCCACATGCCGGTAAGGCTGGCCTCTGTGTAACACAGTTCAAACTGACAATGGCTATGAATAGGATTCAACAGGAAGCTTGTACACAGACCAGATTCAGATGTGGAAACATAACTGGGACATATATCTTCCTCAGCACAATCAATATTAAGGACATCATGTCTTGTTGACAGGTCATTTGATGCAATTAACAAGTTTGTGGTGACTGTTCAAGAGAGAGTAGTGGCCCGAGTGAGTGGCCAGAGAGTGAGAGCCCTTCCCAACCTGACTCCAGCATCCTTTCCAGGCTCTTGCACATGACTCCCCTATTCCAAATGCAGACCAGAAGTAGAACAGATGGACTACTTGCTGTTTCTTATATGTGATAATCCATTTTCTATCTTTGGGCCTTTGGACTGATTGCTCCTCCATGCCTGGAGTTTAATAGGGGAGGAGAGGGAAGGGAAGCTGGTCAGACATTTGCTTTGGGAAAATACTTTGGTAGGTAGATGGGAGGTAAAAACTTGAAGCAGGGAGACCATTGAAGAGGCCATTGCAATAATCCATTTGAGAGGTGATGAGGACCTGCAATGGCATGGTTGTTGTGTGAAAAGAGACAAGGAGATAGATGCAAAAGAAGCTGCAAAGATTAAAAAAAATGGCAAGATTTGACAACTGCCTGGATATGTGGGTTGAGTGAAAGTAAGGCATTAGATATAATAAGATTGAAAACTTGGGTTACTAGAAAGATGGCAATAACCTTCACAGAAATTTGCAAGTTCAGAAGGGTGGGTTTGGGATAGAGGATAATGTAATGATATATGTGACCACCCTATGAATGCTGCATATAAATTTAGGTGATCACAAATATTCCTACCAACAAGATGTATACAAAGTAAATACAAGGTGAATTTTTTTGTGGAGGTAGTGTTAGCAGGTGGGGATATTTGGAAAGATTTCATGTAGAAGGTGTCACTTGAGTAGATTTTTGTGGAAAACATGGGAACCAGGTGAAGAAATAGAGCCCCAGAGAGAAGAAGATTTGCCCAAGACTGCGCAGGTAGTAAGTGGTAGAACTGAAATCTGGACCCAAGCCAGACTTAAAATCTGGGTTCTTTCTAGTTGTGAGAAACCCAAATATTGAATTCTTATGTTAGCTTTAGGTAATTCTTTCTCACCTATATGATTTGGAAAATAGCTATATTTATAAAGTTCCGAACAAAGTCATAATTGGGAAATTTTAAGCTTGCACAAGTAACACAGACCACACCTGGGACAAGGGGCACGCTCTCATTTGAGGAGTGGGGCAGGGAACCAAGGGCGTCAGCAAGGCCTCTGTAAACAGTGGTGTGCACTTGTTTCTGTACAACTGAAGGGCCATAGATGGTGTTAGCATCTTTTAATTTGGTGCCATCTTAAAGACGGCAATGTGGGGAAAATACACTGCAGTTGCCTGATTCCAATTATGACTCTGGCTCAGACTATTCAAAATCTCTTCACTTTTCTCGTAAAATCTTATTTGGGAGAGGCAGAGAAAGAGTTCTGGGTCTTGAATGAATGAACATTCATTAATCACCTACTGTATACCAGGCATTGTATTGGGATCTAGAGGAAAAATACAGAAGTGAGACAATTCCTGTCCTCTAGGAGCTTACATTATTTCTTTTTAAAGCTTATATTCCACTAGAGAAATGCAACATACAGAGGAAAGGAGTTTTGTTAGAGTAAGTCGCAGGAAGTTGTCCTAAATATCAGAACGAGAACCAGTAAGTGCAAATTGCAAAGATGTAAATTTTACTTGATGTAAGGAAAAACTCCCTAACAATTAGAATTAGTCCTGCCTCTTAAAGGTAGTGGATTCCTCCTAATTGGAAGTCCCCTAGAGGATGCTGAATGACCACTTCTCTGGAGTTTTGTACTGGGGATTTTCCTTTGGGTATGGGTTGAACCAGATATCCATAGAGGTTCTTTGGTTCTGGTTTCAAGGTAAAATGGTGAAAAATATGGGAAACAATTTTGACTCTGAGTTTCTCCAAACTCCTTCTGAATTCTGGGAAACTGGCTTAACACTCTTCCAATGGTAAGAAAAAGGCAATACAACAGAGTTCTCTTACAATCACATACTTTTGCTTCACTTTAGAGATTCCTTAGCTCATAGGTGATCACTGATGTTGGCTTGTGGCCAGTCTTGTGACCAAAATAACAAGATAAACAGAAAGTCTAAACTTGAATTCCTGAGGTTGGGGCTTTAAAAGAGTGATTCTCCAAGGGTCTTTAATGGTTCGGTGAGATGAAATTTCCTCAGGTTCACAAGCTTTTCTAGAAAGTTGAATCACTGTAACTTGTTCCTAAATAGAATCTTGCTAGTCTCCTGAGACAAGTCACCCAGTTTGTGAAACTTTGCTATCTGTCGTTAGAGAGGTGTTAAGTGAGCTTCAAGCCTGAGAGTTAAAGACTTGTGTAGAGAATGAATTCATTCAGTATTGATTTAAGCTCCTACTATGTGCCAGGCATTATGCTAAGCCTTCAGGATACAAAGACAAAAATGAATAGGGCATGCCCTCAAGGAACTTACATTCTATGGGATAGACCACTGGCCTGACCTAGATTGGCATTTGCTATGACTGGTTTGCTTGCATAATAGGCATGGGTTAATAATTAGCGTTTTGGTGTGGGCTCCACAATGGCGTAGCTTAACTATCTCCGCTAGATAGGCTTCTTTGAGATTGTGCAGTGAACATTGTGCCGTATTACTTGCTCAGTAAGCACTTGCTGAGTGTTTCCTGTGTGCCCGGTCACAGGCCTACAAAGCCAAGAATGAAAGTCCACTCCTCAAAGGAGAGGAGACAACATGGCATGTATTTATATACAAAATGCACAGAGAGCAGTGCAGTGTATCTTTGGGGGTAGAAGGCACCAGCCCTTGGAAGGACCAGGAAAAGCCCTATCGTAGACAAAAAGGGATGGGGGCTTGCGCTAAGTCTTGAAAGAAATCCAGGATTCTGAAAGGCTGAGGTTTGGAGGGAATGCATGGAATGGGAGTCAGACAGTGCAAAGACAACCTTAGAATGCTGGAATAAGGTTCAAAGGGTAGGTTGGGGGCTGGATCATAAAGACCTTTAAATGCCAAATGGAAGCTATGTTTCTCAGTGGAAGTAATTGGGGGTAGCAGATCTCTGTCACTTTGCTAGAGATCTTGACGACTGCCTCAGCCATCTTCATTATTCTCAGAGCTTTTCTGAGGCCATAGCCAGGTGCTGGGTCTCCTTTAAAGGTTATGAATCTCAACATCTCCATTTTCTGAAATATCAAATCATATTTTCCGTATTGACTTCTACCACAATGCATTTCCACAGGAAAACAAAAATAGCCCTGAAAAAAAATTTTTTAAGAGATTGGTAAGATTATTTTTTTCAAGATTGTTTTCAAGACTGCTTTAGTTAACAGTTGACCTTTCTTGTTCCCTCTACCCTTGTGTCTGTCCTCTTAGATGCAAATGTTGGACAAATTTCCTATGGAAGGAGGTCAGAAGGACCCAAAGCAGAGGATTATTCCCTTTCTGCCAGGTGGGTATAATTAGGCCTTCTCAAGCTTATGACTTTTGTTTACTGTAATTGAATGGAATTTGTGAGTCCCAGGATACTTTACAAACTGTTCTTTGAAACCAGGCACACCAGGCAAGCAGTTTATAAAAGAGGCAGAGAATTCTCCTATCTTTATAAGTCTTTGTGTTCTTTTTTATAGTTATTTCTTTCTTACTTTCTTTCTTTTTTTGGTTAGGCAGTGAGGTTAAGTGACTTGCCTAGGGTCACACAGCTGGTAAGTGTCATGTGTCTGAGGCTGGATTTGATCTCAGGTCCTCCTAAATCCAGGGCTAGTGCTCTATCCACTGCGCCACCTAGCTGCCCCCTTATAGTTATTTCTTTAAAAAATGTATTTTCTTGATGCTTCAGCCAAGAAATCACCAGGGTTTCTGCCCAGACCCTTGGAAGTTTCTCTGTGCCCCTGCCTGGCTGTCCAGAATATTCATAACCACGTTAGTATCAGATTTAACATTCATGGTGTGTGCTAAGGGCCACAGGAAACCTGAGTGGGGTGTGGTGAAAAGATTACCTCTTTATCCAAGATGCTTGCAATGGAAGCGTAAAACAATGGTCAGGCACTGGACAAGGAGCAGAGAAACTAAAGTTTTGAGAGTGTGCAAAGAAATGCAGTCATGGTGGTTCAAGTAACTGAGGCTGTTTAGCCTGGAGAATTGGGTTAGAGGGCTTAGCACAGTGTCTGGCACATAGCAGTTGCTTCTTAGATGTTTGTTGAGTAGAGAACACTGGGAGGATGAAGGGGGGACATGATAACTGTCTCCAAGTACTTGAAAGGGTGTCATGTGGAAGATGGGTTAGATTTAGTCTGTTTGGCCCCAAAGAGCAGAACCCGGATTCTGGGCCAAACCTGGGCTTGAAGTAGGGGAAGACTCCCCAACTAAAGTAACACAGGCTGCCCTGAGAGATTGTGGGCTCCTCCTCTTCAAACAGTGGCTAGACAACTATTCATCATGAATATTATAGTGGGCATTGCTTCTGAGTATAGGTTAGTATTGGGGCAGCTAGGGAGCACAGCGGATAGAGTGCCAGGCCTGGAGTTAGGAAGACCTGACTGAGTTCAGATCCAGCCTCAGCTACTTGCTGGCTGTGTGACCCTGGGCAAGTCATTTAACCCTATTTGCCTCAGTTTCCTCATCTGTAAAATGAGTTGGAGAAGGGAGCCCCAAATGGGATCACAAAGAGTCAGACATCACTGAAGCAACCAAACAGCCTGGCTTAGATAAGACGGCTTTTGTGATAGTCCTGCCCCTTGCACAGGCCGTGCAAACCTCATGCAAGTCGCTGTCCCTTGCCTGCGTGTCACAGGATGACAGGATAATACATTCGGAACTGCAAGTGACTTCAGAAGTGATCTCGTCACCCTGGCATTTTACAGATAAAGAACTGAGATTCAGAGAGATTTAATGACTTTCCTCCAGAGTCACAAGCGTAGAATAAGAGTGTGATGTGGAAATTTTCCCCAGGTCTTTTTTACTCCAAATCCATCACTCTGTCTACCATACCAGCTCTTCATGTGCTGTAAAAGGAGGAAGTTTGATTAATGATCTTCTAAGCCCAAAATCCTACCATTCTGTTCATCTGAAGTAGGAGACCAGAAAAACAAATATCAATAGTGTAGATAGGAGGTCAGTGTTATTAGTCTGCTAAGTTATATACAAATTATGTGAGGGAGTTACACAGTTATCCATTGAGTAGCAGAAGATGTATACGACCTTTCCACATGAATTTTCATTGTTTTCTTTCTCTCACTTGGGTCTGGTGATAAATCTTTATTTGCTACTGACAGTGTTTGATGACCCCTAGCATCCTAGATTCTTTAGACGAGGGCTCCTTAAACTTTTTCCACTCATGACCCCTTCAGTACTTCTTAAACTGTGGTGCTCAACCCCATACAGAGTTGCAACCCACAGTTTGCTTTAGATCTCTGCTATCCTCCTTTTCTCACTGTAAACTTTTCCTATAAAACACCTGTACATTTTGCAAGTGTTTCTTTCCCATCTAATATGTGACAGGCATTGTGTTAAGCGTTTGGGATGGACCAAAAATGTCCCTGCTGTTAACAAATTGATATTCTATCAGACAGGTATCAGAAAAATAAGATTACAGGCCCTGAAAGCACAAATTGCACTCCTTCTGTTATTTGTTTTGATGATGATGACGATTCACATTTGCATAGCAGTTTCTGCTTACAGAGGTTTTATAATCATCAACTCCTTGTGTCCTTACAACACACCTAGAAGGCGGTTAGTCCAAGTATTTGTTATCCTCCTTTTAGATGAATAAAACCAGCTAGTCAGCAAGCATTTATTAAGTGCTTAGTATATGCCAGGCCCTGTGATTAGAAAGCAAGAACAGGCCCTCCCCTAAGGGAACTTGTATTCTAATGAAGGTACATGTTGGTACCTTTCTGATGGAGGTGACTCCATTTAGATACATATAGAGTAGATGAAAGGTAATTATTGAAAGGAAGGCACCAGCATGTTTGGGAACCAGGAAGGGCCTCCTTCAGAAGGAGCATCGAGGTGGTGCGATGGACAGAGCCTTGGGGGACACCTATGGTTAGTGAGTGGGACATGAATGAAGATCCAGTGATAAGACAGATAGGAGAACCAGAAGAAAGCAATGTCACAAAAACCTAGGGAGGAGAGATTATCAAAGAAGAGGTGATAAATGTCAAATACTACAGAGATTAAAAAAAAAACAGTGGATACTGAGAAAATTTTTGTTTGTCAATTAAGAGAGTATTACAACTCAGAAAGAGAAGTGGAATCAAAAGAAGTTAGTAAACAATTTGCCCATAATCCTACAGCTTGGCAGAGTTGGAGATATTGACCCAAAGTTATAAGATTATAGATTTTTAGCTGGAAGGGACCTGAAAAGCCACTAACTGCAACTCTCTCATTTTATAGATGTGAAAACTGAAGGACAGAAAGGTTAAGTAAATTGCCCAGGGTCACAAGGCTACTAAGTATATGAGGCAAGATTTGAACCCAGGACTTCCTGACTCCCATTCTAGTACCCAGACTGTTATACCATGCTGACTCTAAAGTTAGTTTACATCTAGCCCAAGATTCTTTCAGCTTTACTAGAATTGGTGGATTTCCTCCACATGATGAATATAACTTACTTAAGTGTAGTACCTGGAAGTCCAATAGAACTTTGTTTATCTGGTACCCAGTCGATCTGGACTAGAGCTAGGGTGGGAGCCCTCTAGGTCATCAAAAAGGATTTGTTCTGTAAAGTTTGGATTTAGTCAAAGGGCTGCCCTTGAGGACCACATGTGGCCTCGAGGCCACAGGTTTCCCCATCCCTAATCCAGACTGTTTGAGGGGAAGCTGACTTAAACCATAAGATTTAGGACGAGAAGGGACCTTGGAAATAAGCTAATCAAATTCCCATGTTTCTTTTCTTTTCTCTTGATTTCTCTTTTCTTTTCCTGTCTTCTTTTTTTTCTTTTACTTTCTTTTCTCTTCTCTTTTATTTGTTTCTTTTCTTTTCTTTCCTTGCTTTTACAAATGGATATTTGCTTCACATATATAGCAAGAACAAACACATTTTCTCCCAATGCTTTACGGGCATAATCCTTGTTATACCATCTCCTTAAGGACGAGGGGGAGGGAAGATTGGGATTAGACTTCTAAGCTCAATTTCTGTGCTGTAGTGGGCCCACCCAGTTTGTGTCCAAAGGCTGCTCCCAGATGAGTCCTCCTGCTAGGCTGGGGTCCCAAAGATCATACCTGGAGGTTGTCAGCCACTATTTGCTCTTTGAATGTGGATTCTACATTCAGAGCAAAGCCCGGTCTGGATTCCAACTCTTGTATTCTGTGGCTCTCTCTTTGAGATATGAGCTCAGAGACTCTACTCCCAGCCCCTAGAATGGGAAACAAACAAAAAGAATGAAAAGGCCAAGTAGACGCCATTTCTCAGGAGCCTCAGAGAGAGGAAGAGTCCCTAAGGCCTTCCCCCTTACCCCATGGTCTCACCGGACACCATGAGAAAGAAGCACCAGGTTCCTCTTGAAACAAAGACATAAAGAAACTAAAGAAATGGGACAGAAAGAGTACCTCATTTTTCAGATGAAGAAACTGAGGCTTAGGGAAGGTTAGCAAGTAAGTAAACAAATCAGGATTCAAACCTCAATCTTCTGACCTCAGCCTCTCTATTAGATCAGTTTTTGCCTTGGAACTATGACCCAGCAGAATTGTTACTTCTCTTTTCTTCTCTAACTGCTAGGGCAGACTTAGAGACATCCCTTTCCCAATTTTTATTCAGACATGATTTCGTCAGTATGGCCATCTCCAGTTGTAGGTACCTCCCCCAAGACCAGCTGCCACCTATGTATGATTTAAGGCAGGGAGTAACAAACTACTGACTGCCTGTTTGCAAGCTAAGAATGATTTTTACATTTTAAAATACAATAAAACTGTATTTAAAAATGTAAAAACCATTCTTATCTCATGGCTGCAAAAAGAGGCCCCAAGATGGCCATGCAGACTGTGGGACCCCCATTTAAGAGATTAGCCCTAGGGAGCCATCAGAGGCATTGGAAGTTAAGTGATTTGCCCAGGCTCACACAGCTTGTAAATTCATTACTTAGGATTATGAATTTAGAGCTGGCAGAGGTCTGAGGAATCTTTTAGTTCACCAGTCCCCGCCCCCCTTAAGTTACAGATGGGGAAACTAAAACCCGAGGTCGGGGTTGAACCCTGGTTTTCCCGACGCCAAGCCCAGCATTCTATCTGTTATGCCACGTTTCTTCTATTTCCCTAACAGCAGCAATAATGATCATAATAATAGCTGGCATTTACATATTGCTTTAAGGTTCGAAAGCACCTTTACCAACATTATTTCATTTTCTGCACATACAACAACCCTGAGGGGTATACTAGAATATGTACTGGAATTATGTTGAGTTTCAGTTGACCTGAAAAAGAATCACTGGATCCCAGGCATACACCACGTATTGTTACAATGTAGTACAACAGCTAACTGTAACTTTACTGGATCAAATGAACAGTCACAATGGTCTTTGGGAAATCTCTCCCAGATAGAGTTAAGAGCACCTTCTTTGACCTCCTGAAGCTTTATTGATCATGGGCTCCCTACCCCCACCCAAGAATTAACGTGAACACTGTTTTCCCAAAACCGGACTTCTTTGTAACAAGCTGCAGTGACCACTTGTTGCGTTCATGGAATCCCTTTGGCCCTCCGAACTTCCACATGTAGTGTGACCCTCTGGAATGTCTCCTCTCAACCTCGCCAATGGCATTTCCTGCAGCCCAAGAGAAGGGGAGGGGAGCTCTCTAGAAATGTTCTGTTTCCCAGGGATGCAGTGGTCTAACTTCACCCTCCAAGCTCTAAGACTCTAGCATCAGCAAAACAAGAGCGAGTCTGATAGTAGCACCAAAAAGGGGCGGGTAGGGAGAAAGGGGGGATGGGAAGCAGCCCTGTGCAATTTTCCATCCTGACCAGAGCTGGAAAAGCTAACTTGGCTGAGAGCATGGCTTGAATAATAAGAATTACAGTTTGGCCTTCTTCCACCATAGAAAACAAAACCCACTAGTTCCCAGCAGAACGCTTCTCTTTTTGCAAAGCGACAATTCTGCTCCAAAGAGCCTAACTGATCTAGCCATACTGTTGTGCTCTCCTTGCCTGGGGCTCAAATGAGAAGGTTCCAAAATGGGGGTGGGGGGGGCATCCAGTCAGTCCTTCACAAATGAGTCTGTGACTGAAGCACTGTAGACTAGGAGTAATGTGGTTCCGCCTCATTGCAAATAAAATGAAGGCCTGAACATCTCAGGTAGGCCCCTCTGGTGAGAAATGCTTTAAATCAGAGAAACATGGAATGGATTGGATTTGATCTGAGGGGTTTAGGGGAGAGGAGCTTTCAAGCCGCATTAGAAGGGAGATGACATTAGTATGGCAGCATGGAAAGATCCTGAAGTCAAAATTGTTGTTCGGTCATGTCTAATTCTCGGTGACCCAGTGGACCGTACTGTCCATGGGCTTTTCTTGGCAAAGATACTGGAGTGGTTTGCCATTTCCTCCTCTAGTGGATTCCTTGCCCAGGGTCACACATAGGAAGTGTCTGAGGCTGGATTTGAACTTCAGTCTTCGTCACTCCAGATCTAGTGCTCTATCCACTGAGCCATCGAGCTGCTTCTGAAATCAAAACACTTGTGTTCACATCCTGGTTCCATCACTTATTAGCAGTGCAATCTTGGGAGAGTCATTTAAATTTATTTTCCTCATCTGTAAAAGTGGAGATGATATTTATACTACTTTACCATTCAAGGTGGTTATGAGGAAAGCACTTTGTAAATTGCCAGTAGTTTTAAAAAATGTAAGTTATTTTCATGTTAATGACTCCCCAGAGCTGCTTACACTGAAGAATACTGGGTACTCACTTTTCTCCATCCTTTTTTTCATAAGGATTCCAATGGTTCCATTTGCTAAGAAATTCAGGTTCTCCATTTTATGGGAGAAAGTGATTTATTCCAAGGTTGTAAAGCCACATTAAAGAGGTGGTGAGTTAGAACTTTAGCTCATAGAGTGAACTTCATAGAGCTAAACTATCTTTAGAGCTACATCCCTAATTTTTTAGTGTAAATTAATGAAAAGGTAGGATTCAATTTACAGAATTTCACATCGTAAACACTTTTTTCCAGGAATGCATCTGTTCTGTATTTTAAAAGATGGATAATTATGCAACTGTTTAACTTACTAAGGTAATTGAGGGAGATGCCTAAGCCACTCATGGTAAAACTTCATTTAAAAAAATGTTTCTACTAACGTTATTTAATTTTTTTTTTGTCCTCAGTGGGGGAGGGAGGGCAAGGAGTTATTGAACAAAAGTCACTGGTAAGAGGACTTGTGTTTTCCTGAACATTTTAATTACTATTTCTATACTTCTTTTCATTCTGTCCCTTCGCCTCTCTCTCTTTTTTTAAAGGCAGTTGGGATTAAGTGACTTGCCCAAGGTCACACAGCTAGTAAGTGTCAAGTGTTTGGTCTGAGGCCGGATTTGAACTCAGGTCCTCCTGACTTCAGGACCGGTGCTCTATCCACTGTGCAATCTAGCTGCCCCTCCCCCTCGCCTCTCTTTCAAGGCATGTACGGTTGGTTGTGTGCCTCTACTTTTCTTCCATACTCTTTGGAGAAGGAATTTTAGTGCTGTATGATCTTTGCAACTAAGAGGGATATTTGGCCCAGCATAAGGTTAGTAGAATAAAGACTTGGTGACATGAGAGGTGGAAAGGTAAAGAAGAATGTCTTCTGCAGACTTTTTTCAGACTTTTCCCAGTATCTTCTTCCACATCAAACTAATTACATCCCATTGCTCTAAGGCACACTCCCTTCCCACCCCATCCCCATTGCCAGAGCACAGAATTATTGGAGGGTACACAGAGACGATCTGCAAGCATAAAACACTTACAGATTTCCATTTTAAATATTAACTAATGACAACAGTGTCCTGGTCTCATCCACTCTAGGCAAAATTCTCTTCAGACGAAGCCACATCAGGGATGTAGCTGTCAAACGCCTGATTCCCATTGATGAATACTGTAAGGTACGTTGAAAGCTATCTCACAATTGGCAATCCAATCTTCCCTGTCTTTAAAGCTGTCATTCTCCCTTGTACTATCTACTGCTCCGTTAGATAGTAAGCTGTTTGAGGGCAGGAACTTCTTTTGCTTCTTTCTGTGTCCCCGGGGCTTAGCACAGTACCTGGCACATAGACAGCCTTTAATAAATGTTTAATGATTGGTTGATTGCTCCCTCAGTGGAATTGACTTTATACAGCATCTATATACATATATATTATTGTCCCTCGATAGGAACAAGGCAGTATCTTTTTGTTTTGTGCGTACACATGCATATATCTGTCTGCTTCGCTCATATCAGACATCAAAACAGAAGCCACTCTCGTAAAGCACAGGGTATTTTAGGTATCATTTCTCCCGTCAGAGACATGGGTTCAAAGAGGGTCCCAGTTAAAAATAACTCAGTAGAGGTTTTAGTGGACTGCAAGCTCAGTCTGAGCAAACAGTGTTTTCTGTGACTATAAGACAAAAATCTGTGTTTGAGTGTCAGGACCAATGATGCTCTGGCTTGCATAGTCTTCATCAAGAGGATTCTGTCCAGTTTGGGGCTCTATATTTTAGGAAGAACATTGATAAGCTGTAACATTTTCAGAGAGTGACAAAGATGGTGAGGGAACCAGAGACCTTTCCAATGCAAAGAGTATGATAAGTGTCATTTAAGAATTTGAAAGTCAAAAAAAAAATAATGGTTTGAAAGACCAGCATGCAAAAGAGGAATTGAACTTGTTTTGTTTTGTCCAAGAGAACAGAGCTAGAAGCGAGATTGGTGGAACATGCAGAGGAAAAGATTTCTTTCTGATATACGTGTATACACATAAACACATACCTATTTCTTACATATACTTATATATGCTATATACTATATTACTGACACTATATACATATGTTATGTATTATATTGTACATAATATAAATGTATAACATTTTATACTATGTATTATATTGTACATTATATACATAAAATATTTCTTATATATACTCTAAAGATAAATTCCATAGCAGCTAGAGCTATTTAAAAGTGAAATCAGTTGCCTTAGGAGGTAGTGAGTTCCCCATCACTGGAGATCTTCAAGCAAGGGCAGGGATGATCAGAAATGTTCTGTGATTCTGTGACATTCCCCAGGAAATAATTAGTGACCCATTTCTTTGTTTTGCTTTGGCAGGGGGCAGAGAAAGAGTAGGATTTTTTTTGGTCCTGTTTGTTGCATGCAGCATGGTGTTCAGGAATCAACTCTATGAGGTATCATAGAATGACATAAACATGGGTAGAGGTAGTGTATTGCACAGACAGCTTTGGCACCTGGGCTTGGGTATCTCTAGGGCTATAGTTCTGGAGTGAGAAGCCTCAGTCCTATTGGGAAACGTCCTGAGTCAGTGGGATTTCTGAGCCAAAGGATCCCGTGCAAGAACACAAAACTTCTGCAGTTCCTTAAATCTTGATCCTTGGGGCAGCTAGGTGGCACAGTGGATAGAGCACTGGCCCTGGAGTCAGGAGGACCTGAGTTCAAATCTGGCCTCAGACCAAACACTTGACACTTACTAGCTGTGTGACCCTGGGCAAGTCACTTAACCCCAATTGCCTAAAACAAACAAACAAAAAATAAATAAAATAAATCTTGATCCTTTAAAGGCACAGATCCACTCCAACCTAAACCACTGTGTGGGAAGAACAAAACCTTGTAGGTTTACACTGGGGATAAAAAGCAGGTTTAATGGGTATTGAGATGTAAATGAAATGACAAGATACTTAGTTGGAGGAGGAAAATAATCATCTCTTTGTAGGAAGGGAAATTGTTAGTGGCTCACAGATGGACAGTAAAGGAGATCAGTGGAGCATAAGAAAAGGAGGCATGAGACAAAAGTAAGAGACAGCAGCATCTAGTGAAGAAAGTGCTGTACTTCATGCTAGAAAGACCTGGATTCGAATTGTGCTGCAGACAGCTACCACCTTTGTGGCCCTAACCTCTCAGTTTCCTTATCTGTAAAATGGGCATAATAAAATGAAACAATCTGTAAAGTGCTTTGCAAACCTTAAAGCCCTATCTAAATGCTATTTATCACTATTACTAACATGTTCAAAAGGTTATTTCTCAGAAAACTCAGGCAAATTCAAACTCCCCTTTTATAGGAAGTCTCATAAAACCACCATCTTTTCTTAGACAACTCCAGGCATGGGACAAAGGAGATGTCAAAGCCTAGTGAAGCTGAGTGATGTGAAGGAAACAGCACTGACCTTGGAAACAGGAGGCATGGGCTTGGATCCCAGCTATAACCTTTCCTAGTATGTGACTCACAAACAAGTCACTTGGTCTCTTCCTTCCTCATCTGTAAAATGGGGGCGATGATTTATACTTCTAGGGTTGTGAATCAGATTAAAAAGATTTATACTAGACTAGGATTGTGAAGAAATTGCTTTTAAATCATAAAATTATGGAAATGGGAAAAGTTTTTAGTGTTGTCCCCTTCCCTTTATGTGCCATTAAGAGACAATCTCCCTTTATGTAATTCCATGCCCCGCCATGAATACCATGCTCTTAGACCTCTTAGGGTCATTCTGCCAAGCTGAGGAATGTTGTTCCAACATTTCCCCCCATGCCTTCCTAATGGGCTATTTGCCTGCTTAACTTCTCTTTTCTTCCTCCTCCTCCTCCCTACTTATGAGCCAGTTTCCTCTACCTTTATAAGTCTAACTTCCCAAATCTGAACAGCAATCCACACATACCTCCCCACAGGTAGCACTTATATAATCCTCCATTCCTACCACCATCACCAAATTCAATTTTGGGAGGAAAAGTCCTTAAGTGATAAGAAACTACTGCCTTCTGCTTCTGGCTGTCGTGTTTGATGGTATAAGATATAAGGAATCCATTTGGCTTAACAACTGGAACATAATGCCTGATGTTCTATGACCCACTTAGAAGCTTTTTCTCCCTCTGGTTAATGCATTTCATTCTGCACTAATGTGTAATAAAGTGGATGTTCAGCTTAGCCTGAATTTCCACATTCATACTTCATCCAAAGGAAGAGGCCAGTCTCTGGAATAAGCTAAAATTGTTGGGGAGTATCATATGGGCAGAGAGTTAAGCAGGACTTTCTCTGCACTGTTATACTATGTACTCGTGTATCTTACCCAAACGGGTCCAGGTTTCTCTTGAAGTACTATGACAGACATTGTTATGGTCTGTCTGTTCCTGCCTTGAGAGATGGAACCCCAAAACAGGACAACTTGGTGTTTTCTAGGAACTGAATGGCATCTCTTCCCTTTATATTTTGTTAATAATAAGCATTTGCTGAATTTCAAAGTCAAAATTCATTGTTCAGATTCCCAGCATGGGTATAAGGAGATGAAATTAAACCTGTCTGTGCAGCCACTTGTGACCAGATTAGTTTTGTATTCACTGGAGAAGGAGAAGATTGGCACTAAAATTAGGTCTTGCATTGTCTGGGGACATCACTTTTCCAGTTTTGTCCCTTGTTATCTGGATTGGCTGTGACTGCTATGGCCTCTGAGTAAAGAAGTTTCCTCTAAGTGCCAATTTGTGCTGGGTGCCCTGGGCTCATTTACAGATTGGTTCTTTTCTAATGTGTTCCCTCTCCTGCTCTTTTTCTCTTTACCTTTTTATTGGGAGCCTGAGCTCCCAGACAAAAGTAAGCTAAATAAGATGAGTAAAGGCTGTCACAAGTCTGAGAGATGACAGTATTCAGGTGACTTCTTTGTGCGGGGCATACAGCTACAGTCATCACCACCGATTTCCTGATGCCCTTTGCCTCTCAAACTTGGTGGAGTTGCCAGGCTATCGTTAGCAAGCATTTTGTGCATCTTCTAGAGGTGCAGCCTTGGGTCAAATGCCATGGAAAGCACATAGTCTGGCTCAGGAGACAATGCTAAACATTCACACGTTCTTAGATTTAGAGCTAGAAGGGACCTTAGAAGCCCTCCAATTCAGATGGGGAAACTAAGGTACAGAAAGGTTAAGTGATTTGCCCAAGGTCATACAGTTCATAAGTACCAAGGCTTTAGTTTTCTGTTTTAATCCAATTCTTCTGACTCCAAATCCCAGCATGCATGAAACAATTAGAAGAATTATAAATGACTACAGCGTCCCAAAAGTTTTAGTGCAGAGTGTACCATCGAGGCTTAAATCTGCACCAATATTTTTGGAATACCCTGTATGTAATGTCTGGTTTAGTCTATAAATTCAGAGAAAGTGGAATAACTTAGTGTGCTATGCTGCTTAACTCAGGATGTAAGAATGAGTTCCAAACTAGTGAGTGTAGTTTAGGAATGGAAAAAAAAAAAAGCATACTGAAATCCCTTTTGAATTCTTTGATCTACACATGGATTCCCTCTGGATTAGTGCTGAAGAAACTGACATGGTTAAAAAAAAAAAGGCAATAAAAATCAGTGAGCCATAAATACCAAATGTTTTAAGTAAATAACACTTTTTCAAGAAAATGTCATTACATTTGACGGTTTCTAAAGTTTTTACCATGGAGTGCTAATGAATATATCTACCATTCCAGAATTCAAGGGGAACTCAGTGGTGTGAGTAGGGGGCCACGTGATGGGGGACAAGAAGGGGGGCAAGACCCCTGTACTGGAATGTACTGGTCCCTCCTCTGCCCCCCAGCTAACTTGTCAGCTCCTTGAGGGGTGAGGGTGAACAATGTTTCTCTCAGTCTTCACAATGCTTAGCATAGGATTGCGTACTGTGGTATAGTCCGTTACCTACTCAATCAATACTTGTTTGTTAGTTAATTGGCCAATCAGCACAGAAATATCTAAGCACTCAGCCCTTGATCCATTCATTCTTAGCCCATGTGTTTGGTCAGGAATTCATCCCCATAAGCAGATGCTAGACTTTTTTCCTTTGGTTATCTGTTGCCAGATGGGTAAAAACTGAAAATAAAAACAGCATCTGGTGGGTGAGAAATAATTTGATGTTTCCACAAAGGCAGCATCTTTAACCAATATATCTCATTGTTAGAGCCCAACATCTTCAGACAGTCTCTCTTGAGTCCTCTGGGAGAAGGGAGACTTCTTAGGGAGAAGGGGACTTCTTGATATCACTGAGGGTAATGATGCCATTTGGAGATTCCTCTCTCTAACCTCCAGCCAAACTTCACCTGCTTGGGAAAAGAGAAGCCAGTCACATCAAAGAGCTCTTTCCACCTTTGTTGAACTCTCAAGGCCCTGAACTATAGACCTCAAATACAAAATCTCCCAAGCCTTCTGTAAGTCCAGCAAATTGAACCATATCTCAGTCCGCAGAAGAAACAGTATGGGGAGGATACTGATCAGAATATAAAGTACAGGTCCAGATAGAGGTCTGAAGAACTCAGTGGGAGGATGAGTGTGGGGAGACTGTGAGGAACTCTCAACCAGTTAGCGCTGTGAATTTCTTTTCCTTCCTTTCCCGACAGTCAGATTTCCTACAGGGACCACATTTCCACATTTCTCTTTGTTTCCTCAGGCCCTGATCCGATTGCCACCCTACATTTCTCAGTGTGATGAAGTACTTCAGTTCTTTGAGACCAGACCTGAAGATCTGAATCCCCCCAAAGAGTAAGTTGGTTTCTTGATGGCCAGTTGGCTTTTCTTTCAGGAATTTCAAGCTTCTCCCTATACTCCAACCACAAATGCCATGGTATCCCAAGATAGTGGGAAACTGATGCCACTCGAGGAAGTATACAACATTTGAATTAAAATAACACACCAGAAGCTTATACCTCAAAACTGCAGATAAAACAAATTTAGTACAAGAATGACGAACTAAACCCTTTTTTTAAAAGCCTTTAACGAAAAAAAGAAAGAAAGAAAAGATGGGATCAGGTGTTGGTCCAATCTATGTTGATTGAAGAATAAGATGGTTGGGAGAGCTGAGGGATGAAATGACAACCTAGAGTGGAGTAGGGAGTTTCTAGGCATGGAAAAATAGGAGAGAAAAACAGGGAGAAACTTCTCTTCCCGGCTAGGTTTAGATGACCCTTCTATGCACCAACAGAAATGCCTAAAAGCTTAACTTAGCTTGAACTCAATAAAAAGGTTGAGAAAGTGGAATGGGCTGTTGGCGGACCCTTCTGTGTTGAAAGAGTTCTGGGCTGAAGTCGTCCTTGCTACTGAAAGTCTATTTCCTGCTCAGGGAGAAAGCAGTCTTCTGTCTCGTTTGTTGGAATGGGAAGCGAGTGGAGAGGATCTGAAAACCATTTAAAGAGAAGAAGACTAAATGCCATGCTTATGCCTATCTGTTCCCGGATTCTCAAAGTCTTAAGTCCTTAAGGTCACTTAAGAACCCTGAGATGAGCAAGGAAGAAATTCACTTTTGCAAAGAGAATATTTATTATGGGCCCAATCTTTCATCATTAACAGTTTTATTAGTCTCCAGAATTACTCAGTTCCTACCTTTTACCGGACTGTCATCCTTTCCATTTTGCCTTCAACATATAGTGATTTAAAATAGCAAAGGGTAGCTCACAGACTTGAGAGAGATATTTGCAAAAGGCTCAGAGTACTGTCAAAGTGCTCCATCTCCTCCCCGAGCCCAGCCTCCTCTTCCTCCTAATGTCACTTCTGCTCTTCATTTTCCTCATTTATAGGAGAGATGATAAGGGGGATAAAGGAGGGGTACACTAGGAAATCTGAGTGATATACAAAAACAAAAAAATCAAAAATTTTTATTTTTAAAAAAATTAAATAAATGTGGTATAGGTGGATAGAGAGCTGGCCATGGATTCAGGAAGACCTGGATTCAAGTCCTGCCTCAGAAACATACTGGCTGTGTGACCCTGGTCAAATCATTTACTTTTGCAGTGTCCTAGGCAGTTCTCTAAGACTGTAGGTTATAGAATAGTTACAGCTCTGCTTAGGAAAAGGGAGTTATCTACACCAATGTAATTGCAGGTCCAGGCCAAAAAAAAATTTTAAATAGGGATAATAATACCCATGCTGTCTACCTCATGTGATGGTTATAAGGATCAAATAAGATATTTGATATGAAAGTATTATGAAAAGTGTCCATTGCTATAGTAATTATTTCCTGTTATCTGAGGAAGCTAGAACCCTCAGATAAGAACACCATAGCTGACCTCCCCTTCCAGCTTTCACTCTTTTTCATAGGTACCTCCTGGAAACCCAAAACATGAACAAGATGAGCCGCTGGAAGCACCTGGTTCAGAGAACTGTAGGATTTGTAGGTGTAAGAGACCATCTAGTTAACCAATAAACATTATTAAGTACCTGCTGTGTTCCAGGCACTGTGCCTCCTTTTACACCTGAATAAATAGAGGTTTAGAAAGGTAGAAGAGGCAGAACTTGGATTCAAACCCAGGTTTTCTTGTCCCAAACCCATTGCTCTTTCCAGAATGTGGAAGGGAAGGATGATTTTAAAAAAAGAAAGAAAAAGAAGATATTTTCTGAGTTTGTAGCACCTAGGATATTCATTTATAAGCTGTCTATTCCTATGTCCCAGCCAAATGCCCTGGTGCTTGTCTAAGCTCAGATCCAAAATACTAATTATCCAGAGACTATGACATCCCAGGTGACAGTGGTTTTAAGCTGGTCCCCAAGTTCCAGGGTGGACCTTGTAACTCATGATGAATAGTGATCAAAAACGGCCTGACTCAGCCATCTGTGGTCCAGCGTTTCTGAGATTTGTATAGATGTCATCATTCATAAATAAGATAAACTCTTTCTCCAGGAAATTGAATGGAAGCCAACACTTGAAAGGAATCAGAAGATCAAGAATGCTTTTTTTTCATTCATTATTTCTTCCTTTATTCGGAAGTGCTGGCGGAGAAGAGACAAGGTCAGCACATTCCATGCTCAGCTGCATTTCTGGCTTTGCTTGGGATTTCTCCCCTAAGATGATGGAGGACTTCTCGTGTCCATCCAGAAGAGTGGAAAATACTTGTGTTGAGAAGGGCTTTGGCCTGCCAGGGGAGGAGGGCACAGTGAGCACAAACTAATTCAGCTATGTGAAAGTAAATACAGCCATGGCACACATGAAGGGGGAGAGAAAAGTGTGTAGGACGTATCTACAAAGGCTTTTGGGAAGAGCAATGGAGTTGGAGTCCAAGGACCTGGGTTCAAATCCCAGTTCTGCTACTTGCCCTTAAGGAAAATTGCTTCAACACTCTAGGCTTCGGGTTCCTCGTGTGTAAAATTAAAGCACTGGATGATCACCAGAGGTTATTTCCAAAACTTAAATCCCATGAGGGGATTTTGTAGTAGGGTTTTGGCAGGGGAAAGACAGGGGTAGACAGGTTGGGGAAGGTTTAGGGAAAAAAGGTTTAAATTGAGACTGAAGCTAAAGCTGGTAATTGGAATAATTTGGCTAGAAAATAGATGTTGAGCCTGAATTTCCCAACCTGTTTGAGAAGTAGGGAGGATAAGGAGAACAGTGGCAATGGACCTCTGCTGTGAGAAATAGTAAGGAAGGAGGGTAGTATATAGAGCTCAAAGAGTTGATGGAGGACCTTAGTGCTTGTGTGTTAAGTAGGAGGTAATTGGAGCTCCTTATAGGTTTCTGAGCAGAGGAATCTGTTCTCCACGCTGCTTCTTCAAATATGATATTGCATATGATAGGAAAAACTTGAGAAATCGGCCCACACATGCACTTTACATGTAGGAGAATAGATCATGAGCCCACTCAATGCCAGAGAACTACAACTAAGGAAACCTGTCCAAGCTTAGGAGCCCTTTCCTTCAGTTGTTTTCATGTGTCTATACCATACAGGTCAATGGGTAGGAAGTATCCCATGAGCCCTATACCCCCTATCGTACATTGGCATTTGTCCAGCATGACTACCTCCTTTAAAGACAAGTGTTTTGGTTACTTAGATCCTGAATTTAGCCTTTGAGTATGTTTTCCACCACCACAGCAGCTTTCTCAGTATGCCTGAAGCTTGGAGGGACATCCGTTTAGGATTCGTTCTTAGATTTCTTACTGATGTGCTGGCTGAAGGTTCTGCATCGGCTCTCTGCTCCTCAGCCTGAGGCCTGCTCAAGGCTTTGTCCTGGTGGTTTCCCCTTTTCAGAGAACCAAAATGCCTCCTTGTCCTTTAAGAAATTCAGCTTTACAAGGTGGAACTCCAAGATGTAGGGATATAGAAACATCAAGGGAATTTTCTGAGATCTTTTCTATTCAATACAGCCTGCGAATTCCAAGATGTCTTGGAAACTTCTGCTGTTATTTCTCTCGAATGCAGAGACTGTTACTAAATGAAATAATTCATCACTGATATACAATATGTGCTGACTCACTTCTCTTTTCCCTCCCTCCCCTGCTTCTCTCCTCTACAGGGAACATATTGGGAAGAAGAAATCGGGTAAGAATGCAATTCTTTTCCCTCTCTATGCCACTGAATTATCTCTGCAGATTCTTCCATCTGCTCCTAGCCTGGGAAACTGAGGACCTGAGTGTGAGTCTTAGTTCTAATCCTTGTTAACTGTGCAACCCAGGACAAGTCACTTAACCTCTCTGACCTTCAGTCTCCTCTTCTGTAAAGTGAAGATAGTAATACTTGCACTACCCACCTCCTCCATCAAATCCTGTATCAGTACTTCCTCTTGTCATGGAAGTGAGTTATCCAGGGTCCTTGATTGCAATGAAAGCCAAATGTAAGTTTAGATAGGTCTTAAGAAGCTGGAGGGATTTGAGTTTGGGCATAGCAGTAGACCTGGATGCCTGCCATCTGAGGACCAGCCCAAGTACAGAAAGGTTCATTATTAGACTAACTGCAAGGTGATGAATTTTCTTGCACATGGTAAACTTCAAAGATCCTTTAGGAAGGCCTAAAGGGGTATGACCTGTAGCAGTAGAAGGTTCACTCACACCAATGGAATCAAAGTGCCCAAAATGCCTCAAATCTCACAGGTTTGCTGTGAAGAAAGTCATTTGTCATGTCTTTAAAGCCCTCTAGAGGTATTATCATCATCCTCATCAACAGAGTTGCATAGGGTCTCATCAATCTGTTCAGGCCTATTCCAAAGGGGAATGGCCTGCCTTGGGAGATATTAGGATCCCCAGCCCCAAAGATCTTCCAGCAGGGGCAGCTCTTTTTCTCTTCAAAACCAGTCTTTTTTTTTTAATAGCTTTCTTCACTCTTTTCCCAATGAGGGAAACAACAGAGAAAGGAAAAGAATAGACTACATAGAGAAAATGTTCTGCTCTCAGTCTCGGGAGCCATAACAGTCTCAGGATTCCTAGTAATGATTTCCATTCTTATAGCGGATAGAGTACTGGAATTGGAATTGGAAAGACCTGAGTTCAAATCCTACCTCAAACATTTACTAGTGAGCAACCACTTAGCCTTCCCAGACCTCAGTTTTCTCACCTGTAAAATGATGAGTTAGAGTCACTGGTCTCTAAGGTCTCTTCTCTATCTGTGGTCCATCTCCTCCCAAGGGTGTCCCAACATCATTGCCTTGTACTGTTGGTTCTGTGTGTGTGTGTGTGTGTGTGTGTGTGTGTGTGTGTGCGCGCGCGCACGCACGCTGGCGTGTACCTTACAGAAAACACCTAATAGTTGTTCCCAACTTTGTTCCTCTAGGCTCTTTATGACCTCACAGTAGATTCTAAGGTTTAACAGTTTGGGGACAATCCAGACAAAAATGATAGAATCTTTCCACAGTCACCAAAGCTCTCTTTTATCAGGTTTCATCCCGTGATTTCTGAGTGCAGTTGAATTTGTAGGAATTCATAGAAGTGTTATATTGGTAGTGGTGGTGGTGGTAGTCAGTATATTTTCATTTCCTACATTTTTGGAGCTAGCTTCTGGGTCAAGTAGGGAATGTCCTAAGGGTACAGTGTCAGATACCACCACTCCTGAAAAGTAATCGGATTCAAATCCTGACTGGCCCACTTGCTGCCTGCGTGCCAAGTTATTTCACCTCTCTGGGCCTCAGTTTCCTCTTCTCTAAACTGAAGGAATTGGACTAAATGATCCCCAGGCCCACTTCCGATTCCAAATCTGGTGGTTCCATATAGTGAAGGAGCCTAGTCTCCTCCACAGCTTGCAATTATACATGTCCACCACGCAACAGTTGTTCTGAATTCAGCGTCTCTGGTCTCTTGAGCCACTCCTGAGTGGAAAGACTGTGGTCAACAGTGCTTTTAAAAAAGATTTAAGGTTGTCCCTGGAAAGAAGACATTCTATAAACTAGATCTAGCCTTTTAAGGGTTGGAAGGAACTGCCCAAAGGCCCAAAGCCTAGAATTACCTCCTACCTCTTCTTACCAAACTCTGTTTACAGCTCTCATTTTCTGGTTTAATAGGTGCTTGGGGTAGCCTTGGCATCCTGCTCAAGCTACAAATAGCCACTAGACCCATGGATAATTATATGGCCCCCAGAAGGGAGCAGAAAATAGGAGGGCATTTTGCTCTTCTTGAGACTGTCAAAAGGTCTATGTTTTCGACTATAGCTAGGATCTTATCCCTGGAAGGAACCAGTGGGAGGGATGAAAAGGAAGGAGAATCAACTTTGGTAAATAAAGCTGAAGTGTCTTCATGGAACAGAAATACTTTTTTCAGAGACATTGATGAAGGCCCTCATCTAGAAGGGAGAGAGAAGCCTCTAATTAGCGATAACTCTGACTGTTTCACCCACCTGCAATGCTGGGAAAGCTTATTTATATGATCTTGACCATAACTTTCAAAATCAGAGCTGATTCTAGGCTCAGACTTCTTACTGATCATGCCTTTAAATTTGTCCCTCCTTTAGGACCACCTGAGGAGATGTGTGCAGATGTTGCAGAGAGGTTTAAAGTTCATAGCAACTTATTGCTTTAAGGAACTAAAGATGATTGCATTAGGGAAAAATATCCTATGTCTATGCTAGGTTGTTCCTTTCTGTCAATTTCCCTCTCCCAAGGCTTTGGCTAGACCAGTCCTAAAGATTGTTAAGCTATTAGAATTACACTGATTCTACTAGAAAAAAGGATCCCACAGTCTCATAATGGTCCGGATAATTTCATTTAGTAATTATTTTCCATATCTTCTTTGGACCACCCAAAACCAACATTTCTCTGAGGGTTTTTATACCATTCTAATACCCTGAATATTGTTCTTTACTCAAATATTGCTTACTTTCCAGAATTGATATGCTCCAGTAAATGTCAATGAAGTAAATTTCTGCAAAGTGAATTATATTTTTGCCACTGACCTGTGTTATAAAATTTGTGATGCTTTAGAACAGAGGTGTCAAACACCCTGTGTGGCCTATAGTAGTTCTCAGTGAGGTCAAACCAGATTAAAATGTAATTGGGAAATGTTTAACAAAATAAATAAAACCGCAATAGAACATAGATATCATTAATATGTGGTCTTCTAGGTCAATACACAGCCCACAGGGATCCTTATGTATGGTTTCTATTTGAGTTAGACACCATTGCTTTAGAAAATCTTGTGTTTTCACTGGTACTAGAGCTTTAGCTATACTGGTACTCCCTGTACTAATTCAAATCACAGCATCATCACACCTGCTCCCTCTTCCCCAGATTATCACCCTCTGGTTCTAAGTCCCTCTCCTCGCTTGGCTAGGGAGGTGCTTGAAGGACAGGCACTGCCATACTCAAAGCCCTTCCAGCTTGTCAGGACCCTTCTAGAGCTTAGATCCAGCCGACCTATCCTGTGGGGGAGTCAGGGACATTTCCACATCATAATGAAACTTTGAAGGATGTTGGTGGAAGGGAGCTGCATTACCATATTAAAAAAACCCTAAGAAAATGGTGACCAAGTAGAACCAAGAGGACTTTGTACACAGTAACAGCCACGTTATACAACTAAGATTGTTAAACTGAACCCTTCTCAGCATTACGAGGATCTAAGACACTTCCAGAGGCCTCGGGATGGAAAATGCTGTCCACATCCAAAGAAAGGACTATGGAAGTCGAGTTGTTATCACTTATTTTTACCTTCTGTTGAGTTTTGTTTCATCTTTCTGATGGTTCCTTCTATTGGTTTTAATTTTTACTTACAACTTCACTAATGTGAAAATATGTTTAATGGGTATGTAAAGGTAAAGCCTATATCAGATTGCGCACTGTCTTGGGGAGAGTGGGGGGGAGGAAGGGGGGGGAATTTTCAACTCAAAAGCATATGGAAGTGATCGTTAATAAATCAAAATAAAAATAAAATTTTAAAAAATACAGAAAAAAGAAAGAGAGAGAAAAGAAAGAAAGAAAGAGAGAGAGGAAAGAAAGAAAGAAAGAAAGAAAGAAAGAAAGAAAGAAAGAAAGAAAGAAAGAAAAGAAAGAAAGAAAGAAAGAAAGAAAGAAAGAAAGAAAGAAGAAAGAAATGGTGACCAAGGACCATTATGACCAGTTCCAGGAATGCTCAGCAGTATTATGCTTGCAGGGGCGGTGCTTTGCAACACTTTCTTAGCTCTAGACTCTCCTCTCTGCTGTTATATCTTGTCCTTTTCCTTTCCCTCCCTGCCTTATACTCTCATCTCCACCTTCCAGCTATACCATAGGAATATACCCCCATGCCACATTTCCCCTGAATAATATATATGTATATACATATTTATGGATTTGTATATTCAATTTTCATAGTTTCTTCTTTATACAAAAAAACCTTTTATCCAAAAGGCTACAATGAAATATATTTGAGAGCTTGCTGGCAATCTTAGATAATACAAGTAGGTTTTATTGTTGTTCAATTGTATCTAACTCTTTGTGACCCCGTTTGGGGTTTTCTTTGCAAAGATACTGCAGTAGTTCGCCTTTTCCTTTTTGCCTGGAATCTCACAGCTATTAAGTGTCTAAGGTCGAATTTGAATTCAGGTCTTCTTGACTCCAAGCCCAGCACTCTATCTTAGCTGCCCTTGTCTAGATCTAGGCACTCAGAGTCTAAGGCTTGGACAGAGACTCATGCCGAGTTTTGGAAGGAACAGAAACACTAAATTCTATGGATAAGGAGAAGGCATTGTCTTAGAAAAGTCATCTCTAAACCTTGACCCACTCTCCTTTTTTTCCATCTTCCTTCTCCCTGTTCTCAGTGTCCCTTCTTCAGTTACTGATATGCTGTTAGCTCTTCAATTAGCTCTATGAGTCATGCATTCTTTTGCTACAAGGTGTGTTAGGTCACATTTTCAGACTTTTTAAAAACATGCAAGAGTCAGCGTAGTGTAGCAGTGTCAAATTCAAATAGAAATGGGGATCCGTTTCTATTTCTAAACTTTCCATAAAGATCCCTGTGAGCTGCAGGTCGACTTAGAAAACCACTTATTTACATTATATGTGTTCTATTGTATTTTTATTTATTTTGTCAAATATTTCCCAATTACATGTTAATCTGGCTCCTGCTACACTGGGGAGAGTTGCCTGCCACTACATGTTTTATATCTCTGGTGTAGTGGACAGCTTGTTAGGCTTAGAGTCAGGAAGACCTAGAGTCAAATCCTACCTCAGATACTTAGTTGGTGTGTGACCCTGGTCGAGTCATTTAACCTCTATTAGATTTCCTCTATCTAACCCCAGAGAGCAAGATTCAAAAGCAGTGGGTGAACGTTGCAAAGAAACACGTTTAGACTTAATGTAAAGAAAAAACTTCTTATCTATTAGCGCTGTCCCAAAGTGGAGCAGATGGTGTTAGGGAATCCTTGAGTAGAGATCTTCAAACAGAGGCTGGAAAACCACTTGGCAGGTATGTTGTAGTGGGAATTCTTTCCAGATGTGGACTGGATTAGATGGCTAAGTTAAAGGCAGCTGATTGTCTTTGTTGGTGGAAGGAGTTGTCACAGAGCTGCTCAAATCACAGATTCTTCATATGTTTGCATGGAAGCATTCACATGGAGTTGGAAACTCAAGTGTTACCTCACCACTATCCATTGATCCAGATCTTGTCAGGTCCAATTCTGGGCAGTCATGCCAATACAAAATCTTTCCTTCTGGTAAATGTGATGTTAGTCCAGGATGGAGAGTTCTAACTGTTTGCACAATGCTATGTTTTTTCTTGAATAGATTTTTGCTTCCTTTGTTTTTGCCCATTAGAAACCCCTCCCTCCAAAGAAACATGACTGTAGGGATCCCTGGGAACTTTTTTTCCCAAGATGAGTAATAGCCTGCTAGTAACATTAACCTGGGAGGACTGTTTTCTCCAGTGTTTGACCTGTGTTTCAGAAAAAGTTTTTAGGGACCTTGGTAAGCCTTCTGACCCTTTCTGAGTTCCTAAATGTGACTGTTCTTAAGGAAATTTCTAGCACAAAGAAATAGGGTTACTGCTAGTGAGACAAAGAAAAAAATCAATGATTGTCTTAAGAGTGGTTATAATGAATTTTAAACTTCCATAGACCAAGCATAGTCTGAGTGTTCAACTCAGCTATATTCAAGAGGTATATAAAGATACTGGCAGCCCTGCTCTCATGTGCATTCACCTGTTGCCTTGGAGGGAAATCCTAGTGGGGACCTATATGTTACAAATAGCCCCTCAACCATGATTTCTAATATGTTCATGTTAGAGACGTGGGTACCAGAAGAATATAAAAATCATAACCCATAACCAAAAAAACCCACAAACTTGCTACCTTTGTATGCATATTTAGGGTTCACTCAGGAACAGATGTCACTGGTTCAAATCTGATTACTTTGCTGAGTTGTTTTTATCTCCTTTTGGTCTTTCATGAGCATGCCCATGTGCACAGAAGTGCAGAGACAGCGGGATTCCTAGGGTTTTGAGTCCCATGAATGGGCTAACAACCTTTGGAAGAAGTGTGTACTCAGAGGTCTGGCTCCACCTGTTAGAATTATTATAGGAAGTGATACCCTGGCCCGTGGTAGCCTAAGGCTGACAGCTGGATTCTTGGCACAACCTAACTTTAGGATAAGATAAATTAGGTTTATTTATAATTTAGGTTTATTTTAACCTTAACCCTCTCTCCCCTCTCCCCTTCCCCCCGCCCCCGCCAAATTCCTACATTGGCCCTAAGTCACCTTAGGGCCCTTCCTGGACATTTCTATCCCCATTGCTTCCCTGTTATGGGTGGGTAGTAGTGGCTTGGGCCCTCTCGGGTGAGCTGAGTTCTAGCCCTTTGTAGGGGAGGCTCTGAGGAATTCAGTCTCTGTGGGCTCCAAAGAAAACCGAATTCAACCTGCTTATGGCTTCATCTTTGGCCCCAAAGTAGTAATATAATTCTCATTGATACAGTGTATTAAGATTTATGAAGCATTTTGTTCACAGCAACCCTGTGGAGTAGGTGGTTCAAGTATTATCCCCATTCTGTAGGTGAGCAAACTGAGACTGAAAGGTTGAGTGACTTGCCTGGTACCACACGGCCAGTAAGTATTGGAGGTAGGATCAAAACCCAGGTCTCTTGATCTAAGCCCAGCATTCCCTTCACTACCCTACACTGCCTCTCTGGGAAAGGTAAAAGGAAGGGATCATAAGAAAGAGGTGAGAGAGAGAGAGTCAGCTTCTAGTCTTTCTTTCCTTGCCCATCTCCTTTCTTTTATTCCTCCTTTTTCTTCATTTCTTCTCCTTTACTTCTCTTTACTCTCTTTCATTCCTCCCTTCCACTATTTTTCATTTCTTTTTTTCCTCCATCTTTTCTTCAGGTACATTAGCTCCCATGGGGTAAGTGGGACACACATACACACACACACACACACACACACACACTCTGGGTCATATGCTGTAACCTTCAATAAGACTCCACTTGGCTACCTTTTCTCTATTCAGAATGCCATGTCACCCCAGCCTTCCCTCCCGGGCTATGGTACCTTTCCCCAGTGACTCAATTAACCAGATGTGGAGATTTCTTCTGTTCCCGATTTCAGGGGGAGACTTGGCCTCAGTAGATCCAATGGTCCTGGAGCAATATGTGGTGGTGGCAGATTACCAGAAGCAGGAAAGTTCAGAGATCAGCTTGTGTGTGGGCCAGGTAGTGGACATCATTGAGAAGAATGAATCAGGTAAGACAGCTATTCCTTACCAATACTATCTCGAGCAGACACTTTGGGATGGCAGTGAGCGGGAAGGAGAATTGAGGCCCAGGATCCTAGACCATGAGTGCCACAAGGTCATTTTGTCACCGTCACATGAACATGGTAAAATGAAGCCATCTGGCCATTCCAAAGAAAATCTGCTGTTGTTAATTGGCTTAGGTCATCCTGAACATTTGTAATCACAAAATCGTCATGGGTTTCAGGTTTTCATGGAGTTGATGATTTCAGCCCATTCCTTAGCTGGTCCATATTCACAGTGCAGAAACCACATCAGCTAGAGTTAACTGTTCTTTTTAGCCTTAGCATCAGAATGATTGATGATCAGTACTCGTCAAACGTCATATCAGATGTTAGGACAGGACAAAGTAGAGGAGAAGGAACTAGAGGAGGTGAAACAAATCTTTTAATGGAAGAATAAAATATACAAAAGATTCAACATGTTTATCTTGGCTAAAGTCTGTAGCTGGCCAATCTAGATAATAACCCAAATGACTGGCTAAGAGCCATAACAATACATTGCTTTGAGTCCAAATGTTCTCTAATGATAATTATAATAGCTAACATTTGTGTAGTGCTTGCCATGTGCCAGGCACTATGCTAAGCTCTTTATACTTATTAGCTCATTAGGGGCTCACAACAACACAGGGAGCTAGGTGCTGTTATTTTCCCCATTTGATAGATGAGGAAACTGAGGCAAGCAGCAGTTTAGTGACTTGCCCATGGTCACACAGCTCTTAAGTGTCTGAAGCCAGATTTAGACTCAGGTTCATGGGAAGAAAAATCTATTTCTGACATTTTCTGGGTAACGTAAACATTGGCTAGGTTACTAATTAGCACCGCCAACCAAGTAAATTAGAATTGCATACATCCTGAATCTGTGATGAATGTTAGCTCCTAAATATGACTGTCATTAATATGAAGTACAACTTCTGCAAATTAAACTACAATTTCTCTAGCCTGCCTGTATATACCATCCCAGATGCATCCTCATAATTGTCCAAAAATAATCCTGTCTTTAACCTCAGCAGTAAAAATTGTGCTGCTCCCCAGGTGTAGACGCCTCCCAAAAAGAGGATTGCTTTGGGTCTTATTTCCATGGCTGAAACTGATGAGCAGCAAGTCTGAGTAGCTCAGTAAATCTGATACAGAACCAGAATTTGATCCATATCCCAGCTTCCTTGTGACTTTGTACATGGCACATTCCTGCCTCTGTCATCAGCATCAAACCCTCTTTACCAATGGCAGTTTCCAACATAGTCTTCAAATTTGAGCATAGTCTGAATACTGAAGGCGGTGGGTTGTGTTTCACCCAAGCGTTTCTATGCACAGAAAGGATGAGCAGGAAAGGCATGGTTAAAACAGGTCCACAAACATATCAAATGACAAAACGCTTCTTCTGCCTGCAAAGAGTTTCTCGTGTACATGGGAGCACAAAATTTACACACACATACACACAACACACACACAATAATACAACTGTATAACAACCAAGTTCTAGATAATGTAATAGGCAATAAGTGCTGTAAGAATTCAAAGAAAAGAGAGATAGCCTAATCACTTCTCAATCTGCTACCAGACTTACCTTCTTTATGCATAGATCTGGACATGTCACTTCTCTGCTCCAAAACTCATTATTGGGTTTTTGTCTACAAAGTGAAGTCAGAGGCAATATGGTGGAGTGGCTAGAGAACTGGCCTTAGATCCAGGAAGACCTGAGTTCCAGTCTCGCCTCTGATACAGTTCCTGGGCAGGTGCCTGGACTTCTTACTACTCTAGGCAACTCTCTGAGGCTACAAGTTGCAAGGAACGTGCTGGTCTGCATTAGAAAGGACTTTCCTCATCTAGGAATTTCCTATATCAATGAAAGCATAGGTCTAGTCTTTATCCTGACCTCTACTTGTATGTTGCAGCGTACACCTACTGACTGTGTCACCCTGGGCAAGTCCTCTCAGTCAACAAGTCAACGAGCATTTATTATGCACCTATTATTTGCCAGATGGCAGCTAGGTGATGCAGTGGATACAGCACTGGACCTGAAGTCAAGAAAACTTATCTTCATGGGTTCAAATCCGGCCTCAGACACTTATTAGCTATGTGACCTTGGGCAAGTCACTTAACCCTGTTTGTTTCAGTTTCCTCAGCTGGAAAACGAGCTGGAGAAGGAAATGGCAAACCACTCCAGTGTCTTGGCCAAGAAAACCCCAAATGGGGTCATGAAGAATCAGACACAATTGAAAAACAACGAAACTGAACAACAACAAAAATTTACCAGATGTTATGCTAAGTTCAGTGATCTAGGCAACTCAGTCTCTAAGTTGTAAAGAAGGTCTGCATTGATTGATAGAGGCAATTTTATTATCTGGGAGTTTCCTGTACCAATAAAATCACATGTCTGGTCCTTATTCCTGTCCCTGAGTAAAGTTCAAATACCTTGCCAGGAATTCAAGGCTTTCCACAGCAAATACCACCCCACCTTTTCAGCCTAAACTGGACCACTCACTACCCCCGTCCAAGCACTATACCTTGCTACCTTTGCGCCCATGTTCATGCTGTTCCCTGTATCTAAAATGCCCTCCTCCCTATCCACATTCCACAGTTATACTCCAATGACAACCTCCCCAGATGTCCCCTCTGGTCTACCCCACCTCCCTTGACTTCTTTCTTGCACGCTTATTATGTACTGTTTTGTATAATAGTTACTTGATTCACACCTCACCCCATTAGTCTGTAAGCTGCCCTGTGAGGGCAGGAATACTGTCTTTGTATAAACTCTACAACCTCACCCAGGATCTGGCATAGAATTCTGTACACCATTGGCACTCAGTTATGTTCGTTGAATTGAATTAAAATTAATCCCCATGCACAGGGATTATCAGGGAGAAGTGATATGGGACTTGGACATTGAAGGATGTATATGATACGGATTGGTGGAGAGAAGTAGGACAAGTATTCTAGGTGGGGAACATTGTAGAAGCACAGGCATGAAGGTGGGAATGAGCATGGTGCATAGGAGAGATGACGAGGAGCGCAATACAACTACACCGAATTATCCAGCTACATTACCCACTAGCCTTTTTTTTCCCTTCCAGGTTGGTGGTTTGTAAGCACTGCTGATGAGCAGGGCTGGGTCCCTGCAACTTGTCTGGAAGGTCAGGACGGTGGCCAGGATGAATTTTCTCTGCAACCTGAAGAAGGTAGGAAAAAATGTATTTCTAAGTATATATAAATATTTCCAAAGACTGGTAAAAAGGGATCCCTGTACTGAGTGAAGGGTTGGACTCAATGATTCCTATAATCCCTTTTAACTCTAAGACACTAGAATACACATGATGTTATATACTCTATCTGTCTACGTTTGTATCTTCTTCTCCTTCTCGACTGTCAGTGCCATAAAGACTGGACATGTCTTATTTGAACTTTGCATTTTCCTCAGCATCTAGCAAAGTTTCCTACACACATTGAATAAAGGCATGAGTGAGTGGTTAAATGTGATCCTATGAAACTGCCACAAAATGGTAGCTAAAGCCTTTTTGGTGGTGTGGGACTCTCTAAGCCCTCTCCCTTATCTTCATTCAGTCTTTGCTGGGAATTGAAAATCTCCTAGGAGACAAATAGTCTCTGGCCCAGGAACTTAGTAAAAGCAAACTTGGCATTTCAATTGGGAATGAAGGGAATCACTGCCTCCATCCCTAGAGACCAGTTTGGAGAAACAGCCAGAAGGATCTGGCTTCAGACATCCTTTGTATATGGTTGTTAACTGCATTTTACTAACGTCAAAGTCTAATGGAAGCCTGTCTCTCTGTTTTCCATCCAGGAATCATTCTTTGTCAGCCCATTATAGGCATTCATAGGTCATTATCAAAGAATTTGAACTTATTTATTAAGTGCCTTGCAAACCTTAAAGCACTATATAAATATCATCGATTGTTCTTGTTAGAGATTCTCCTAGTAAAGACAGAAAGGAGCTGATCACTTGAAATTTACACTCAACCTCGTCTATTAGAACTGACAGCCCAGGGGGAATCTTTAATAACAACCCATATGCCTGGTTTGCTTTTACTAAGCCATCAAGTCAGAGATTACTTGTGATGCTTTTCTGACTTAAATGCTAATCGGTAAGATCCACCTTCGTGCTAAACTTGACTACTGCCACCATTAATATAATCCAGGTCGAATGATCAAGAGAGCCTTCCATATTTGGGTTCTAGTATTTCAGGATTCTCCTTGAGTTACCAAACCAGAAAACTACGTGTGCTATCGCAACTGCCAGTCTCCAGCAAATGCACCATTTTGCTTTAGAAGTCATGAATGCTGAAGAGATATGAGAGGACACGCCCACCCCCTCCCACCCCTTCATGGAGGTGGGAAGGCCACTGGTCTTACCACACTGCACATGTTTTCTGACTTTTTACACTTTGACAGGTTGTGCTGATTTTTTCCCAGTTTTTTCCTTTCTTTGTTTTTCGTCTTTGTTATATGGGGTGGCTCTCTGAGCAGGGAAAGGAAGGAGAAAGAGTAGAGGGTGAAAAGGTATGATGATGATGATGTAAAAAACAGAAGACATCAATAAAAACTTATTTTTTAAAAAAATTATGAATGAAAATGCTCCCAGGACCTTACCTGGACTTGAAACTAGTTAAATATTCCTAACATGGGGTACCTAGGCTGATTATGGAGAAAGCAGGTCAGAAGCAACTCCTGTTGCTCCAACCAGCCCGAGTACTTTTATGAATATTCATGGTCTAATGGTAAAGTTTCTAACAAGCCACTATAGCTTATAGCGTTAAATATAGCAGCTAGGTGGCACATTAGATAGGGCACCAGCCCTGGAGTCAGGAGGACCTGAGTTCAAATCCTGCCTCAGACACTTGACACTTACTAGCTGTGTGACATTGGGCAAGTCACTAAACCCCATTGCCTAGCCAATAAAATTAATTAAATAAGTAAATAAATATAAGGAGCTCAGTTACTTTAAGTTTTTATAAATCATAAGCAGCTTCAAATGTATTTGTAATGTGTGGTTTTTTTTTTAAACTATACCCTCTTATCCAAAGTATCAAAGAGGCCATGTGGTGTAGTGGATAGAGAGCTAGTTCTAGAGTCAGAAAGAGTTGTATTCAAGCCTGGCCTCTGACTTGCATTAGCTGGGTGATTATAGGCAATTCTAAAACTGAGTTGCAGAGGGAGAGAGAGAGCAAAGAATTTGGAATTCAAAATCTTATGAAAGTGAATGTTGAAAACTAAAATAAATAAATTGGTGAATTAAAAAAAATAAAATTGAGTTGCAGAACAGTTGCCAATCTACATGGGAGTAGGGAATTTCCTAATCAGGACCTCCCTATACAGATCAAGCCACGCCCCCCAAAAAAATCCAAGCCATTAACCTTTTTGACACACTTCAGTAAGTATCCCCGATCTTCCCTCTGAATTATTCAAAAAGCAAGCTTTGTTACTGTCGTGTTTTTTGCACTATTTATTTTATAATCATCTCTCTAGATACTGTCCCCATTCCACTGAATCCTCCTTTGTTACAAAGTGGGATAGTTAAGCAGAACCCAGTTAACAAAACAACTACTCATGACAGTGAGTGCAATGTTCTACATCCATGGCCCCCCTCCCCCCAGCTCTTTACCAAGAAAGGAAAATATTTCTTCATCTTTTCTCTGAAACAAAGATTGGGCAATGCAATTTCATCCCCTTTTTAAAAGCTTGTCATCAGTGGGTTTTCCCCTAAATAATCCAACCCCTAGAGTAGAGATTCTTCATCTTTTTTGTGTCGTGGATCCCTTTGGCAATCCAGTGAAGATGATGGACTCATTCTCATAATGGCGTTTTAAATGTATAAAGTAAAATACTAAAACTGCAAATTAAACCAATTATAGTGAAATACAGTTATCAAAATATTTTAAAAAGCAAGTTCATGGACTCTAGCTTAAGAACCCCTACTTTCAAGCCTCTTAGCAATCAGATGTTAGACACAAAATTAGGTCAGTTTAGCTACCACTCCCTTGGCTAGAGCTTGGGGTCCTTACGTGAGGACTTTCTGCTTCTGAAAGATCAGATGTGACATCGGATGAGATAAATAAGTAAATGGATGTAAATAAGAAACAATGGTAGGTTGTAGGTGCTGTCTCTGTCTTGTTGGTGCTGCCTTCTCATCTCCTGTTTTATCCATTTCCTGGTTTCTACTACTCAACATGCTTCCTTCCCAGTCTCTTGGAGATACTGGTCTTTGCCCCGGCACGTGGGTCGCCGTCGGACACTTGGGGACTTGTACACCACTGGATGGGGTCAAGGTGGATTCTGTGGAGGCTTGTTTTACTGTTTTGTGTTTGGAGCCTGGTCCGCTGTTTCTGCCTCGTGCATGAAGTCCTCTCCCCCTGTGACCGTGTGTGTGTGTGTGTGTGTGTGTGTGTGTGTGTGTGTGTGTGTGTGTGTGTGTGTATGTGTGTGTGTGTCCATCCGTGTATTGCATGTTGATAAACAGTGACCTTGCTTGTGTCACTTGTACTAGATATATTTGGGGGGGGGGGCTGGAAAGAGGACTCATCATCAGATTCTCTCACAGCTACTGTACTGTAAAGGATGCCCCTTTTCTGAGTTTCCTCTTCTGGTGTGCTGGTTAGCTCCCCCAAGAACAAACCAATGCCTTCGGAAGCTCAAGCTTTTCTCTTTGCTGAGTCATCAGTTGTCAAGCCTGCTTCCCTCAGCTTTGATTTGTGTCACTGATTGGGGTTAGAGACACACTCCCCATCCACCCCCACCCCACATGTTGAGCCATCCCCAGGATGATGCCCTTTAAGAATCAGAAAAGGAAAAGGACTGCCCTTACTTGGCGACAAGGCGTCCCATCTGAGCTACGTCCATTCTTCACGATCCCCTCACTTGATGGAACCTCTCATGCACACACAGGCTTTGGCGTCTTTCCATACATGGTCTGCAGTTTTCATGAATCAGTGGAACAGCCGACTCAGCCACCCCACAGGATACACTATTATTTGAGTCAACTTATTTCCCTACTTGGGTGGATCAGGGAGATTAAATAAATAAATAAATGAGCATAGTGTAAGTCAGCCCTCAGTGCCATACAGGCAGGCCACAAAAAGAAGCCTGTTAGGAGTTATTGGAGGGAGGGAGGAAGGGAGGGAAGGGGAGAGGAAGAGGGAGAGGGAGAGAGAGAAGGGAGAGAAAGGGGGGAGGGAGAGATGGCAGACAGACAGGAGAGGAGAGGAGAGGAAGAACTGACATGCTAAGTTAGCCGTCCTTAGCCTTCACTGAGAAAGAAAGGAAATTCTCTTGGGGACAGAAAGGTTGCCAGTGCAGGAAGGCACTCCCTCCTTCCCTCTTAGCTTGTCTGTTGCTTCTTTAGGAATTGGGTGTTGAGCATGGGGGAACACCCCAAGGCCTTTTCCTATGGTGCTCTCTTTCTTACCCCCTCACCCCAGGCATGAGCACTTTTGAACAGCTGAAGGCCAAGCCCGTTCCCTTGCTTTCTGAGGTCAATGTCCTGAATCTGGATGATTCGGAAGGAACAGAGCCCCTCTGCTCGATGGCCAGAGACCTCAGGGTTTTACTGTGGGAGGGAAACATCTGGATTTAACTTTTCTGAGAGGAATGAAGTAGAAGGTCTGAAAGCAACTTTGGGGAAAGGAAGGAGCTACCTATTTACATTTGTTTTCTTCTCCCGACTATTTTAATGAAACTTCTAGCTGTCTTTGGCTGGTAATGATCTCATCCTCAGACCATCTGCTGCCAAATGGATCTAATCCCTCAACACTCCAGGCGGCCAGGTTGCCAAATCCAAACGAGAGATTGTCATAGCCATGTGAAGCATTAACCCTTCCTATCCTGGATTGGCTCCAACTGCTTGGAGACTGCCCCACCTTCAGTTAAGGCCTGGTAGTAGACCTAAAAGGATGATTCATGGGATTCTAACTGGCCAGGATGTTAGCAATCCTCATAGGGCCCCCAACACTTGAGGACTAGAGTACAGAACTAGAGGGGCTTCAGATAAATTTGGGGCATCTGCCTCTTGTTCTCTCCAATGCTGGGTGGAAAAACAAGGGACATATTAAAAGTTTAAAATAAGCTATTCAGTTTTAGTTGGGGCTTGAACAGTTTCTGAAGGAAGGTTTTCTGATCTTATGGGGAAGAAAGTGGACTTTTTTAAGAAACTTGCTATATGACAATTGACTTTCCTCCATGACTCTTTGGGCTGACCCAATTCTAATGTCATACTTTGTTCCTAACAGAGGAGAAATACACCGTCATTTACCCATATACTGCTCGAGACCAGGATGAAATTAACTTGGAGAGAGGGGTGGTGGAAGTTATCCAGAAAAACCTAGAGGGCTGGTGGAAGATCAGGTATTCTTCCCTATCTCCCCTATGGCCTTAGAGAGGGGATGAGTTGGATTTCTTATACTGAATGACACTACATGGGACTCTGTATGTGATGACCTTTGGGGGTAAAACTTTCATGATGATGTCACCGACATCTTTGAGACCTGATTCCTGAAAGGAAGTATCTTTTATATGCTTCTCTCCTTAACCATATTCTTTCTTATAAGCCTGTAATAGACAATCTTGTCTTCAAGCATACACAACCACAGCTTAAGAGGAACTAGAAGAAATCCTGGACTCGAACTATAGATATTTCCAACAAATGGCAATTCCGTTGGAAACTGCCATTTATTTTCTTTTGTTTGTTTAGTATTTTATTTTCCCCAATTACATGTAAAAACAACTTTTAACATTTGTTTTTAAAATTTTGATGTTCCAAATTCTCTCTCTTCCTCCCTTCCCACCCACCCCTCATTGAGAAGACGAGCAATTTGATGTTATACATGTGTCATCATGCAAAACATATTTCCGTATTAGTCATATTGTAAAAGAGAATATACACCAAAAAAAAAAACTAAAGAAAAATAAAGTATAAAAAGTATGCTTTGATCTGTATGCAGACACCATCAGTTCTTTCTCTGGGGATGGATAACATTTTTCATTATAAGTCCTTCAGAATTGTCTTGGATCATTGTATTGCTGAGAGCAGCAAAGTCGTTCACAGCTGATCATCTTACAATATTGCTGTTACTGTGTAGTGTTCTTCTACTTCTACTCATTTCACTTTGTATCAGCTCATGTCTTTCCAGGTTTTTCTGAGATCCTGCTCATCCTTTCTTATGGCACAATGGTATTCCATGCCATTGATTTTCAACCCCACTGCAAGTAGGGGACACTGCATAAGCATAGCCACAAATCCCTTGTTCATGTGAATATGCAAATATGCAAAAGGCTTATGATTTTATCAGTGTGCAGGCATCCCAGTGTGCAAATTCCCTCTACTGATTCAGATTGCAAATCACATATGACTTAGTAGATATTTCAAAGAGAGTTACCTAGACCCATTGAGGTTAAGTGACTTGACCAGGGACACACAGCTAGTAAGTATATAAGAGGAGGTCTCTCTGGCTCCACCATTATTCTGCGCTACCACCATTCACATGGAAGAAGGGTTTATTTCTCTGTTAATCCACTACCACAACCCCTGTAGTTTTCCTTCCAGTGAGTTGCTTTGGTTGATGCTAGGCTCTCCCTTCAGACTGTAAGCATCTCAAGGGCAGGTGCCTATTGCCTTGGTCTCTGTCTCTCAGAGCCTAAGAATAATGTTGTGAGTACTGCTGTTGCTGAATTCATGTAGTACTCTGCTTTACAGAATATCTTCATGTACATTAGCTCATTCTCTCATAACAACAACAATGTGAGGTAGATGGGACAGTTATTATCATCCCCATTTTACAGATGGGGAAACTAAGACACTTAAAGTCAAATGACTGTCGCAAAGTTACAAAGCAAGATAGCTGCAGCATCAGGATCTCCTGACTCCTAGACCAGGCCTGACTCTGGCTCTCAACTTCAGCAGTATTGCTGTGCATCAGCATGCTAGGAGGAGACGTGTTATCATCCCAAAAGTAAAAGCCCTTCCTTACCCAGAGCTCTGACTCGGCGTAGGAGAGAAAAAGGTGGAGACTAAGCAAGGGAAGATGTTTTTCTCAGAAGGGATAAGTTCTGTAAATAATTCTGCCCCGCAGTACAAAACCACTGGCTTTGAGGGCCCCGCCTAGAGCCGGCACAAAGTAGGTTGTCTTTCCCCGATCTCAGGCCAACCCAGCATCCATTAGGTATTAGAGGTGGTATCAAGTGGCACCACCCTCCCCCTTCCCCAGCCCAGGTCACTTAGACTCCTCCCCAACCTTCCTGACAAGGCTCCTTCCCCTTTTCCTCTCCTGCAGTATACTAACCCTACCCCCTCTGCAGGGGTCTCAGAATTCCTGCTCCACTTTGACCTCTAGGCCTGCTCCCTGTTTGCCAGTGAGGCCCAGACCAGAGTGGGATGGGGAGGGGACAGGGAGGAAACATGTAAAATCCCTTAAGACTTCCTACCCTGAGAGACCCATACTCCAGTACACTCAGAGGACTCCAAGGTGATCTCCAGGCTTTTCCATTCCCCCTCATGTGTTGTCTTGATCTAATTGGAGTGCAAACTCATTGAGAGCAAGAATTATGATCCTTTTCTTTTTGTATCCCTAGCATTTAGCATAATATGTGACACATAGTAAGCATTCATTACCAGAAAAACTAGTGGTATCCAGTCAGCCCACCCCCAACCCCCTTTTTGACCTGAATTTTATTTAAAATTCTTCATTATTGTCCATTAATAGTACTAATCTATACTTTTCTTTCTTTTTATTTTTTACAGTGGTTCAAGTTTTAGGGCTACATTCGTCTCATAAAAAGAGTTTGGTAAAGTGTTTTCTTTTTCAGTTTTTAAGAATAATTTTAAGAATAAATTCTTTTCCAAGTTTACTGGAATTCACCTGTAAATCCTTCTGAACCAGGGCTATTTTCCCCTCTTTGGCCATTAGCCCTTTTACCATTAAGACCATTTCAATCCTCTGATTCTCGGGCCACTGGCTAATCATCTGTGTTATGCAGACTGCCCCCTTTTTTCACATGGCTTCCTGAGGTGCAGCAGCTAATCTATGCTGCCTGGCTATTTGTTGGTTCCCTGACAGAGAAGATCATTAGCAGAGTGACTGATGTGACAAGTGGTTTTACCCACAAAGCTTGGAAGTTCTTCTGTTGTTTGACTTCCTTTCATGTTTTCCTACTGCTTGGCTTCTCTATAGAGATTGTGCCCAGTGCCTAAGTAGGTGTTTGACAGCAACAGACACTTACCACGGAGTAGTACCACATTCTTATACCTAAGTTGATACTCAGGAATGGAGGCACCCATGTAGCTTTAAGGCATATTTGGGCATGAAGGAGAGGAGGCCTTGATTTACTTTAACCTGACCTGACCCCCATAGTCCAGGCTAGACAGGAAAAATGCAGCGTCTCTACAGCTGGGACTGGGTCAGGAGAGCCAACCTATGACACCAGAGCCCTGGAATATCAGTAGCAGTTAGTATACTGTGGTATCTTGCACCATACTGAACACATGGGCACTCAAACACTTGTTGGCTGACATATTAATACTTCTTTCTCTTCTCCCTGCTCCCCCCTTTTTCTTACTTTAATCTTTCTTGCTCCCTCTTCTGCAAATCTGTTACTCCATTTCTTCTTCCTCTCCCTTGTTTCCTTTCTTCCTTGCTTGTGCCTAGCAATGGCTCACAAGGGCATTGATTGGCACCCTTGTCAAGGCTAAAGACGTCTGCCCTTGCACAAAAGAATGTTAGAAGACATCTCTTTCTATATGAGACCTTTCCAGATCCCCAGCTCCTAGTGACCATCTGACCCCACCCCAAAATCATCTTCTATCTAGTTTATATATGCATATTATATAGTGTTGTACAGATTACCTGGTACAAAGTAAAATAATTAAATTTGTTGACTTCCACAAGAAGCCTTAAAACTTTTAACATCCCTAAAAAATGAAGGCTGACTGGAAAAAAATTACAATTGGGTGTAGGCACCCAGAAGGCATAGTAAAAAAAAAAAAGCTGTAACAAAAAGCTCTTACAGCTCAGCTATTAAAAAAAAAAAATGACGTCCCAGAACTTGCACTATGATGGTAGCTTTGGCTAGTGTTTTTGAGACAGGAAGAGCTCAGGATGGGCTCGGGTGATGCTGGTAAGCAAAATATAGTGTTGAGCAGTTGTTTGGTTTGTCCTCTTAATAAAGCTGCCTCAAGCCAAATCCTTTGGAATTAGTCAGCTGTGGCCTTGGGGGTCGGAATAGAGCTTGGGAAAGTCGAGAGAGGGAGGCTGTGAGTTTAGCTGTTCCTCCTGTAGGTCTAGGTGTACAGGCTGGTCCTTCAGAGACTTTATTTCTTCCAAGACATTCTGCCCACAGTTCAGGTAATTGGCCACTACGAGAACTTTAGTGCCTCTCTATCTATGTATAACTTCTCTTGAAAGGGTGTAACTTCGCATTTTATAACGTGAAATCCCATGGTAGCCTGTAATTCCTTTAGTCCAGAGCAAAACCAAAATTCTTTGACTGTATTTTTCTATTCAAAGGAATAGTGCTGGGCCCTTTTCCTCTATTCAACTATTTAAGATGAATAGATATTCTCAACACAATATGTTTTTATCTTTTTCTTGACCTACTTCCAGTTTTTTAAAGGCTCTTTTTTTTTCTTTTAAACATCTCAAAACATGTTTAAACAGAACACAACCAAGTTTTTAGTCTGAGATGTTGTCCACTGCTGAGTCCAAACAAATCATCTTTACTTGTAAAAGGACCTTGGGCAAATGGCGTCAATCCCACGTCTTCACCTCCAAATGTATTAGGTTGCCATTTGGAAGGCCTACAGTGGCTTTCTGTGTGCACCAGTTACAGGGGCTGGCTTGACCTCTCTAACAGAGTGAGTCAAACAGTTGTTCACTTTGTATTTGGCTTTGTTAAATCAGCAGGCTGATTTCTGAAGACCTCAAGCCCTTCGTACTGGGAGCCCTGTCACATGCCTTGCTTCAGGCCCTGTCTATCTGACAAGTACCTGTAATAGTGATAATAACTATAGCTTATGTTTTTAGAGCACTTTACAATTTCCAAAACATTACATATGTTACCTAATTTGATCCTTAAAACAGCACTTTGAATTGGAAAGTTGAGCATTTTTATATTCATTTTACAGGAGAGGAAATTCCATCACAGAGAAACTAAATTATTTATCTGATATCTTTCAGGACATGCAGGTCAAATGGTGGAAGGGTTGGAGCTTGAACCAATGTCTTTTGCCTCTAAGACCCATGTCCCTTTTTTATGCTATATTAGGCATCTTCTAAGCAGTAACAGTTTTTCTCCTGGTTCCTAATGACTATTGCCTCTTATTCTCTTATTATCATCTCATTATTTATTATTATAGTTATTGTGTTTAAATGATATATTTATTATTCTCTTGTTATCACCTCTTTACATTCACTGAGTTAATTTATCCTTTCAGGCTTCTAGCCATTAGGCTTTGAGGTGAATTTAGAAGGTTGGAGAAGCTTCCCCTTTAGCACAAGGAAAGTGTGATGTGAGCTCACTGAAGATATTTCTTTTCCTAGGTTTCAGGGTAAAGAGGGCTGGGCCCCTGCCTCCTACCTGAAGAAAGGCGGTGGAGAGCTGTTTGCTCAGAAGCTAAGCTCTGGGTCACCAGTACATTCATGCACTGTCGATGTGGATGGTATTTCCCGGCAGCAGAACTCAGCAGGCAGAGAGAAGGATGTACTCAACAACCAGAGAGATGGGAGGTTTGATAACCGCACGGGCCTAGATGGCGACATTAAGCAAAGTAAGTGGCTTGCCAGCAGGATAAAGAGAAAGCTTGTCGTGTGTTCAGTCCGTTCTAATGATAATAACGTACACTTTCATAACATTTAATGCTTTTCTGAGCAATTTCGTAGGCCTTATCTTATTTAAACCTCACGACCCTATCCATATTATTATCCCTATTTTTCAGATAAGAAAACTGAGATTTTTAGAGGTCACATGGTTAATATCAGAACCAGAACTTCAATCCTAGTTTCCTGTTTTCCGATAATTTCACTGTCTTTTCAGGGACCACATCTAAAAATTTCTCTATGCTTTATGAAGAGAGGATTTAGTTAGGGAAAGGACTTGCAACCATTTGAGAAGAAAGGTCCTTCTTTACCCTAGTTAGTTTCACTTAAGTATTGTTGGGTAAAAAAAAAAATCTCTTAGCTCAAACCAGGGCCATCACCTTACTAGGACATATACTGCCTCCATTTGGCAATACCTCAGTCCCACATAGATTATTTCCCTCTTCCCATTTACTTTTGTTTTTATGTTCTTGATCACCATTTCCTGGCCCTATTTATGCAAAATTCTTGTATCTGATTGAATATAAGCCCAGTGAGGGCAGGGAATGTTTAATTTTTATCTTTGCTTTCCCTACACCTAGCACAGTGTTTGGCATGTGTACTTGCTAACTAATTGACTTAACCTCTGACTTTTAACTACTGAGAATCCTCCTTTCCCCCCATAGCCATGACGAGTATTCCATTCCAGTTTGGCTGTACTAAGCAGAGAAAGCACTTTGTTGTCCTAGATCTTTGGCTGTGCTGATCAGGGTTAAGGATAAGGGAGGGGGGAGAAGGATGCAGGGAAAGTAATCTACCCCAGAATGCTGAGTTCAGAGCAGAGGATATATTAATGTTAAGACTGGGATGGTGGATCATAGACCTAGAGCTGAACAGAACTCAGAGGCCTTTTAGAAGAAGAAGAAGAAGAAGAAGAAGAAGAAGAAGAAGAAGAATAGGAGGAGGAAGAAGAAGAGGAGGAGGAGGAGGAAGAGGAAGAAGAGGAGGAGGAGGAAGAAGAGGAAGAAGAAGAGGAGGAGGAGGAAGAAGAGGAAGAAGAAGAAAGTGGAGGAGGAAGAAAAGGAAAAAAAGAAGAGGAGGTAGAGGAGGGAGAAGAAGGAAAAGGAGGAGGAAGATAAAGAAAAGAAAGGAAGAAGAGGTAGAAGGAGAGGAGAAAATAAAAGAAGAAGAAGAAGAGGAGGTAGAGGAGAAGAAAAGGAAGAAGATTACCAAGTATTTAACATGTATTATCTCATTGGATCCTCACAATAACTCTATAAAGTTGATGCTGTTATAGGAAACTGAACCAAAGAAAAAAAGGGACTTTCTCCAGGGTCGAACAGATTCGGCCTCAGTTCTTCCTAAGGATTTCTCTGCTATGGTGCCTGGCTCCCTCTAGCTTCCCCATGTGAGGAAACTGAGGCCCAGGCAGGGTAAGTGACTTGCCTAGAGGCAGGTATAGAAGCATGGTATTCTCTCCTCCCTTCCAATTAAAATTAAAATTTAATTCCCTGAAGTTTTACCTTATATACAGTAAAGCACCCATTCGGGACATTGCTAGGCAATGCTCTCTAGTCTCATGTCCTGAGAGAGGAGTCTTCAGTAAAAATCTGCTCCACACCACCAGTCTCTAATGGTCCCTGATGATGTGGGCTCTGAAGCTTGGTGTTCATAAGGAAAAGGTGAGGCCTTTCACCCCCTGAAACCAGTAGATTCTCCTTCTCAAACACAGTGGGAGTGCATCTTTTCCCTTTCCTTTCCACAGCTTTTCCCTTGCTGCTGGACTGGGAATTCCAGAAATCTCTTTCATTTCAGAATGGACAAAATCTTGTGACTGAATTCATTTTAGGGAAAAGCAGTGTTGGTAGAGCGGCTGAGCCTGAGCTGAGAAAGTTCAAGGGAGGGTACGGGTGGTCTTACAGGAGGTTGTGGATTCTTCCCCTAATTGGAGTCTTTAACCTAAAATTCTGAACAATTTAAGATATTTTCACACTCTAGTTGGCATCGTAATTGTGTGTGCATCTTATTTTGCCAGTGTCAGCAGCCTTGTTTTCTTTCTTTTTCTTTGTTTTTTTTTTAAACTTTATGCTTTCCCTCTGTGCGTTGTGCCTAGTTGGTATGTAATAAATGTGTGTTGAAATGTGGGTTACTGCCTTTTGAACTGGAGTACAATCAGACCATATTTCTCCACAGGATCTCCAAAGATGAGGCAGAGACCCCCTCCTCGACGAGACATGACCATCGTAAGTAAAACCCTCACCCTGGGGAACCAGGCCCTTATTTGAAAGGCTTGAGTTATAGGACAATCCTTTGTACTTAATGTATAGTTTTTGTATTCAACAAAGCATCTTCACAGGCATTATCTCACTTGGTTCTCAAAACAGTTCCAACAATACCCATACTAGGTGTGGTAGGTATTATTATTCTGCTTAACATATTAAGAAGCGGATTTAGAGACAATAAGTGTTTTTCCTAAGGTCACACAGGATATTAGTGACAAAGTCAGAACCGAGACAGAGACACACCTTTGACTTTTAGGTTAGGTCCCTTTCCAAAGATAAAATATGTAAAGTTGTGCCCCTCAAGATGAACAGAAACCAAACCTTGGGCAAAAAGATTCTCTAATACCATACTAGTTTCCTCTTTTCGTGTTCTGATTGTTGTCTCCAAGCTAATAGAAAATTTTCTAATTCCTTTTTCTCTTTAAATCAGTATAACTCTAGAGTTCCCTTACCTTTCCACATTTCCCCCACATAACCCTCAGCTGCAAAACTTCTGCTTCACTTATAAGATCAAAAATGCAACATGTCTCTTTGGAGCCAGGTCACATTTTAATTGAATCCCACAAAACTACCCATTGTGTTTAAACTTTTTAGTAATACACTAACAAAAGTTAGTTTTATGTTTAATTCTATCAGCCTCGAGGTTTGAACCTGCCAAAACCCCCTATCCCACCCCAAGTGGAAGAGGAATATTACACCATTGCTGAGTTTCAGACAACTATTCCTGATGGAATCAGTTTCCAGGCAGGACTGAAAGTTGAGGTGAGTGGACTTGACCTTCCCTTCCCACCTCTAGCCTGTCTTTTCCTCCTCTGACTTCTCCTTCCTTCCTGTGTCCTCCCCTCCCATCCTCTCACCTTCCTTCCCTCTTGCCTGAACAATTCCCTGAAATTTCTCTTTCCCCTGGATACTTTTTCTCATCTCTCTTGATGACTCTAGAAAGTTAAGGTTATTTACAGTTCTTTCAGAGATTTTATGTAGATACGTGTTTGGAAATCCCTTGATAGGTGTCATTAACAGCAAAGAGCCCGTGCTTGGCAGCATACGTTACAGATGCCAGAGATGACACTTGAGATGGGCCTGGCATCGTCATTATCTTCAGTAAGGATAGATTGACCCAGCTCTCCATTGTCACCCATTCACTACTTCCTCTTTTCCATTTCTCTCCATCATGTTCATTCTCCCCATCATCAGAAACTGAGAACAACAGGATATCAGGTGGACAACCTGGCATGCAGGTTCTAAAAAGTTCTCTCTCTCTCTCTCTCTCTCTCTCTCTCTCTCTCTCTCTCTCTCTCTCTCTCTCTCTCTCTCTCACGCACATGTGCACACACACACACACACCATCATCTATGAGAAGTAGGCAGAAAGAAATGGCACCATGACAACTACTGTTGTCAGTTCATCACTTCCCATCATCATCAACAATTGAACAAACATTTCTAAAGTAATAGGTGCAAGGCACTGTTGAAAAACAAATAAGAAAAACCTAATCCATGCCCTCAGGGTGCTCTTACTCTACAAAGAAGCAAGACCCACTTGTGTTAACTACTCTCACTCCCTGGTTCTGCAGAATCTTCAACAACCCATCCAGCTTCTGCTCCAGTGGGTACCATGGGCACCAGTCTTTCTCATTAAAAAGAAATCTTATCTGTTGCTACCACTGGTTATTTAGGAGAAGAAGTGTGAGGAGTAGGAAGAAATTTTACAATTTTTATATCTGTTATCAACTATTTTACATTTCCAAAGTATTTCTAAATGTTGTCTCATTTGACCCTCAAAAGAAAGTTACTATTATCCCCATTTGAGATATGAGGAAACTCGTATTGGTGACTAGAGCCAAGTTCTATAGCTAGTAAGTAGCAAAATGGAGACCAGAACCCTCGGGATCACTTCACAACATTACATGGCCTTCCTGTGTAAGTAACACCTCCTCTGTGTAGACTATTTTCTTTGACTGGTAGAAGCTAACATCCTCTAGGCAGCACTGTCTCTATCTGAAGAGAAATGTATTTGCAATTATAAATAATTATTATTATATTATAAAATTATAAATTATAAAATACGGCCTATGGGCAGCTGAACCGATACTTCAAAGTCTATTATCTGAGACCTGGAAGGTTCACAAGTGACACCAGATCTATGTTTATAGGCCTTAATGATCTCTCTACCAAGTTCCCGTCTTGTATTTCCAACTGCCTGCTGGTCATTTTCATCTGGATTTCTCAACATAACTCAAAATGAACATGTCTAAAATCAAACTCCTCTTTACCCCTTTACTAGATTTATGCTACTGACTTCCATATTTCTGTTAATGGAGTTGTCATTCAGTCACATATGCTTAAAACATCCCAGTGATTTTTGAGTCATACAGTAGTATTCATTTTCCTTCAGAATATTTATTGCATCCTTCTCTTCCTTTCTAATCCCACTGCTACCACCTCAGTTCAGTTCAATTCAGTTGCTAAACTGTAGCAAGGGCAGTGGCCACACCCTGGGTGAAACCATCTCAGGCAGATGGCCTAAACCAGGCTGAGGGTAATTGACAGGCCTCAAACCTGTTGGTGAGTTAGGAGGATGTCTACCCCATGCATGTGAAGACTTTCCCCAGCAGAACAGGTAGATCAGAACAATTTGTTCCAAAGGGCATGAAGGTGGATGAAACAGGCACTGTGGAGCACTTAGAGGTTGGTCATACATCCAAGATGTATCCCGCGCCATCACCAGTTGTCTTGCCTTTTATCCTGCCACAGGACTTTGATGACTCCTGAAAAGAAAGTGAATTTACACAACTCTGCCTCCCTTAAATCCATCGCACTCGCAAGTCAAGACATTGCCCTCATAACATCACTGGTCCTCTTCAAAAGTAAAGGATAAACAACACCTCTTCCTTTCTGATCCCACTGCTATCACCCCACTTCAGATTTCCATTTCCACCCCTCCCCAGATTATCACACAGGACCTTACACAAAATAGGACCTTAATAAAAGTTGAATTGATGTGAATTGAACTTGTGTCATGGATCTCTTTGGCAGTCATGGGTGAGACCCTGGACCCCTTCTCAGAATATTATTTTTAAAAGCATAAAATAAAATGTGTGGAATTATAAGGGAAAGCAATTATATTGAAACAGTTATTCAAATATTTTTAAAGCAAGTTCTTGGGTCCTATTTTAAGCACTCCTATCTGATGTCTCTGCCTCCAGAATCTCCTCTTTCTAGCTCACCTAGCATGCCCCCTCCAAAAGTACCACTTCATATTATTTCCTGATCAGAAGTCTTGGACTCTACCATAATTCATGGAATAAAATTTAAATATCTGAGCCCAAGCAGACATTGTCTCATACTTTCTAGTACAAATCCTATGCTGCGGCCAATGTAGAGTACTCACTGTTCCTCATTTGAACATTGGACTCTTTTTAACCTCCTTGTTTTGATCCATGCCATACCTTCAACCTAGAATTTGAATGCCCTTTCCCTCTTATTTACCTTTGGAGAGCCTACTCCTCCTTCAAGGCTCATCTCAAATGCCACCTTTTCCATGATGTCCCTAATCTATCCCCTCCCTCCAAGCCACTCTTCCCTTACATGGTTCTATAGCTATGTATCTCCATCTTATCTCTACTTTTATATTGTAAGGCTCTTGAGGACAGAGATGGTCTCTCATTCTTCTTGACACATAATAGACACAATAAACAACTGTCAAATCGATGAATGAATGCCAGTAGCCAGTTGTGACGTATTTCCTGGTGAATCTTTGATCTCTTTCCAAGCTTTGAAATGTCATGGCATCCCAGCAATTCTCCCTTTGGCCCATATCCAAGAGAATAGGAAATAGGACTTCCTGTATCTTTATCCTTCCTGGGGTTCCCCAGTGCTAACAAGATTTGAGGGACTGAATATATGACTGCTCATTTCTTCCAGCTGGTCAGCCACAAATATCTGATAAACAGTAGGCTAAGAGGAAGAGATCAGTAATACACTTCTCTGCTTTGAGGAATCTGTCATCAATGGGATGTAGTGATGCCAGTCACAACTTACCCCTGCCTTCTCATGTTGTGTGCATCTTTTTTTAATGTATTTATGTCATTTATTTTTTTATATCACTTATACTTCACAATATATCCTTTTCCTCTTCCCCCCATAGTTCTATCCCTTATAACAAAGAATAAGAAAAAAGTGGGTGAAAGCAGTTCATCAAAGCTAGCCAACATAGCAACAAATCTGGCATTGTTTGTGATGGTTCACATGTATACTCCACCTGTGCAAAGAGGGGATATATTCTCATCCCTCCGCTTTAGGACCAAAAATCTTGTAAGATTCTTGTCCCTGTTTTCCCACAGATCCTCCAAAGAAGGCCTGCCCAATGTTCTGAGGACCTTTCTCTAGTTCTGTGTTTTTGAAAAATTGTTTTAAATTAAGCAGATTATTTAAAGCTGAATGTTGAACATCAGTATGATGTTCAGTGATTAAGTTTGCTTAATAGCGATTTGCAGATGAATTCTTAAATTCAATTCAAACTATCAAGACAACTTTCCAGTGGCTCCCTTCAAGCCTCTGCCAAGATATTTTATCCATTCTAATCCGCTTGTCCAATGATATGGTCCTAGCTAACGGGTGTTCTGTTTTTTCATCTTGCATTATTCCATAAAGTTCTTTCGAGATGTTTTTGTCTTCGTAATTGCCAATCTGTATCTTTATAACCATTACCCATTGTTGGACACTTAAGCTGCTTCCAGGTTCGTTTTTTTTTAAGTACTGTGAAAATCTTAATAGCTCCCTTATTGCTTGTTTTTCATAACTTTCAGGATATAGTTCCAACAATGGGATTAATGGGTCAAATGACATGATTATTTTTGTTGACTTTTATTGCATAATGTAAGATTGTGTAAGTTGGAAGTTCCACCAGCAATGTATGAGTGTTTTGTTTTCGCTGTTCACTCATTCAGTCATGTCTGACTCTTTGTGACCCTGTGGACCAAACTATCCATGGGGTTTGCTTGGCAAAGATACTGAAATGGTTTGCCATTTCCTTCTGTTAAGGCAAACAGAGATTAAATGACTTGCCCAGGGTTACATAGCTAGTAAGTGTCTAATGCCAGATTTGAACTCAGGTCTTCCCAACTCCAGGACCAGAACTCTATCCACTGAGCTCATTAAACATGAATGTACCATACCTATTTTTCTATAATCGGACAGCACAGAGTTTCTTTTTCTTTTTCTTTTTTTTTTTTTGAGGCAGTCAGGGTTAAGTGACTTGCCCAGGATCCCACAGCTGGTGTCTGAGGTCAAATCTGAACTCAAGTCCTTCTGATTCCAGGGTCAGGACTCCATCTACGGCACTGCCTAGCTGTCCCAGAGTTTCATTTTTTAAAATTACACATGACAATTTGACGGCTGTGAGATAGCACTTCAAAGTCGTTTAAATTACATTTCTTTGATGGTTATTACTGAGGTTACAATTTGTGTTTCCTGCTTTGAAACTTGTTTGTTCACACATCTTTTGGCATCCCATAGGGTTCTGTCCTGGATCCTCTTCTCCCTGTACACTACTTCACTTGGTGAGCTCGTCAGCTGCCAGAGATTTAATTACCACCTCCATGTTGATGATTCTCAGATCTATCTATCTTGCCCCAGTCTTTCTGCTGACCTCCAGCCTCACGTCTCCAACTGCCTTTCAGACATCTCAAACTGGACGTCCAGTAGACATTTTAAACTTAACATGTCCATTACTGAGCTCATTATCTTTCCCCCAAACCCTCCTCACTTCCCCCGACTTCTTTATTACTGTGGAGGGCACTATTATCCTTCCAGTTCCTCAGGCTCACAACCTGGGTGTCATCTTCAACTGTATCATCCCCTGTCTCCAAGCTGTTTCCAAGGCTTGTCGATTTCACCTTTGTAACAACTCTGGACTATGTCCCCTTCTCTCCTGTTGACACTGCCACCATTCTGGTGCAGGCTCTCATCAGCTCACACCTGGACTATTGCACTAGCCTGCTGGTGAGTCTGCCTACCTCAAATCTCTCCCCACTCCAATTTGTTCTCCATTCAGTTACTTAAGTGAATTTCCTAAGGCACAGACCTAACCAGGTCACTCTTCTCTTCCACTCAATAAACTCCACTGGCTCCCTACCACCTCCAGTATCAAATATAAAATCTTTTGTTTGACTTTCAAAGTCCTTTATAAACTACCTCCCTCTTACCTCACACATCCTTCCAATCTTTTTACACCTTATATCTGCATACTCTTCCATCCAGTGATACCACATCAGCTTCCTTGCTGTTCCATGAGGACATTCTTTCTGGTCCGGGCATTTTCTCTATCTGTCCCATATACCTAGAATGCTCTCCCTTCCTATCTCTGTCTACTGTCTTCCCTAGTTTCCTTTAAGTCCCAACTAAAATCCCATCTTCTATAGAAAACTTTGCCCAACCTCACTTAATCCTAGTGCCCGCCCTCTTTTAATTATTTCCAATTTATCTTTCGTGTAGATTGTTTGTACATATTTGTTTACATGTTGTCTTCCCCATTAGATTGTGAGCTCCCAGAGGGCAGAAACTGTCTTTTGCCTCTTTTTGTATCCCTAGCACTTAGCAAAGTGCCTAACACACAGTAGGCACTTAATAAATGTTTATTGACTGGTCGACTGAATTTGTCCATCCTGGACTGGAAATTATCTTTGTAAATTTTTTTAAACCTTTCCCTGTATATTTTAGATAACAGATATTTAATCTGACATTTGTCACAAATTTTCTCCCCAATTTGTTGGTGTTCTTTAACTTTCAACTACATAGTTTAATTGTATATAAAATTTTTATTTTAATGTAAGTCAAACATTTCTACCTGGTCCCAAAAATTCCTTTTACTTATTGAATAGAAAAAAAAAAGTCTTACTCCTTGACAGCTGAGGCAAATACATTATTCCATTTCTTCATCTTTTATAGTTTGGGTTTTTTTGTGCTTAAAGTTTCTCCTCCAGATGGAATTCACTTACTTGTATGTGAGACGTAAGCATAAATCCATTTTGCTAAATTGCCAACTGACTTTCCCAAGTACATTTATTAAACAGTGAATCCTTCCCCTAGTTTTTATTTATATAGATTTGTCAAACACTAATCTTTGGCGTACCTGTAGTTGCTGTCTAGATTCCATTTCATTGATCTATTTCTGCATTTTCTTCTGGTACCAGATAGTTTTTATGACAGCCACTGTGTAATATATTTTAAGTCTGGACTTCCTCTAGTTCTCTTGACATTGAAAGAGTGCACCAGTGGAGTGTGTGGACTGTCCCTCAGCCGTCCCTTGCTTTTGCCACATGGCTGGCCCATCTCCTTGTCTGGTCATATGTATCTCTGTTGACATTGTCCCTGCCTACTACTCCCTTTTGTTGTGCAACTCTTCGTGTAGTATGTTATGTTCTACTCATATTCAACTCAGACCTAGCCATTGTCAGTAATATGTCTTTAAAAATTGGAATTGACTGTGTTGGGGTTTTTCTTTTGATTTGATACAATTTAGAGCATCTTTTCTCAACCCAAAATCTGCCTTGTCCTGCTAACATAAATATACTATTTACTTCTTTGTGTTCTGTCCTCAGCAAGTTTAGAATAGCAGCTCAGCCTAGCTCAAGAACAAGGAGCTAGGTTCCAAAATTGGGAGGGCATTTATGGAGGAAAGAAAGAGTGGATCCTTTGAAGTGTCTGAGTTTTAAAAAGTAGCATCATTTGGTAGACAAAGTTTTGCGTATGGTAAAAATTTACACCAGATTGGCAGCTAGGAAATACTGGAAATACTTAAAATGATGGAATGATGATAGAAGCTCATTGAAATTCATTGAATATGTATTTTGTTCATACTATTTCTAGACCTCTGTATATTCATTTTTAAGTTTAAAAACTTCATTTGTTCCTTCCCAATGAATAAATAATGGAAACTTCTCATAAGTTATGATGGGAAGAACATATTATTACTTGCATACAATGGGCACTTAATCATTAGTAGTATCAAATTAATAGGATGTAATCAAATTAAAAGAATATAAATGCCTTGAGGGCCAGAACTCATTTTCATTTTGTCTTTGAATCTCTGATGCCTGGTGCAGTACCTTACACATGATGTGCTTAATAAAATGTCCATTGAATTAAGAATATTTGTTGTCTCATTTTCATTTCTCTACTGCACTGGTCCTAAAGTTATTTATTCTTTAGTCTATCAGCTCCTAATTAATTGACATTGATAAGCATTCCATTTATTTCATTCAGTCAATAAGCATTTATTCATGTTACAGAGTGTATAACATAGCATACTGTGTGCCAGGCACTAGAGAAACTGATGTAGAACAGAGAAAGCACCTGTCCTCGACAAGCTTATATTCTACTGAGGTGTTGCAACGTATTCACAAATAAGTAAACACAGGATATGTAAAAATAAATAAAAACTAACACTAACATTCCAAAGAATCAGGAAAGACTTTTTGAAGGATATTTTGCTCTAACTAAGCCCCAGAGAGAGCTAAGCGATTCTTTTTTTTACCTACTTCTGTACTGTTGGGGCACCAGTCACTTTTCTACATAGCATACATGTACAGGGCTATCTTTTGTTAGACATTGTCCATTAATGTCAACTAAATTAATTTATGTAAAGTAAATCCTATTGCTTCACTGGTATCAATTATAAGATCTGAAGTGGGTTTAGGAATTGGGGGTGGAGAAAGACACTCCTTTTAGACTGAATTGAAAATATTGTCAAGGGAGGGATTGAAATAACAGGCAGCTCTGTTGCAAATAAGTTCTGTGCTGGCTGGAATCTACAGTGCTTTGTAACAGTTCTTATTCCTTTGAAGCAATTTTTAAAATTTCAGCATCTCCCCTCTCTAGTTAAGCACCAACACACACACACACATTCACATTCACGTGCATGCACACACACACATGTACACGCACAGAATCCTGGGCTTTAAGAATTTCCCCTGCCTGCACATGCCCTAACTCCAAAGACACAACTCCTAATATTCTCTTGGACCTGTTGGAATCTCCCTAAAGTCAAATGATTGTAAAGCCATTGTTACTAAGTTGATCTGTTCTTTTATCCTTTTCAGGTGATTGAGAAAAACTTAAGTGGCTGGTGGTACATCCAAATTGATGATAAGGAAGGCTGGGCCCCAGCAACATTCATTGACAAGTACAAGAAAACCAGCAATGCCTCAAGACCCAACTTCTTAGCTCCGCTGCCTAATGAAATGACACAGCTTCGCCTAGGGGAGGCTGTGGTGGAAAATCACAGCGGCCATGAAGCAACTGGTCCTTCTCGGCCTTTGCCTGAAGCACCACACAATGGCATAGACTGTAGCATACCTTGGTCCAAAGAATGGAAGGGTAAGGAGGGCCATCGAAATGTCTCTTTAGATATGGCTGCATCTGCTGGGTATGAGGAAATCTCTGACCCAGATATGGAGGAGAAGCCCAGCCTCCCACCACGGAAGGAGTCCATCATCAAATCAGAAGGGGAGCTGCAAGAGAGAGAGCGGCAAAGGATGGAGCAGCTCAGAGGGTCCCCCAAACCTCCCGGGATGATGTTGCCCATGATTCCACCGAAACACGTGCCCCAACTAAGGGACAGCAAGAAAGCAGAGCTGAGATCAGATAAGGGCAAGTTGTTCCAGCAGAAAAATGAGATGGGGCTGGAGTGTGGGCACAAAGTGCTGGCCAAGGAAGTAAAGAAGCCAAACCTCCGTCCTATCATCAAACCCAAAGCTGAGCAGCCTGAGGATAAACCTGAGTCTTTTACCCAGAACCCCTTCTTGAAATCTAAACCTCAGGTTAGACCAAAACCAGCTTCTTCCCACAGGACAGAGCCTCCTCAAGCTGAGGACAGACTGGACATCTGCAACCTCAGGAGCAAACTCCGACCTGCTAAGTCTCAGGAGAAGTCATCAGAAGAGGAGAGTCACCACCCAAGTGGAACCCATGATGTCTCCTTCAGCAACAGTTTGCTCTCAGGGGAGGCTTCCAGCAGGCCTCCAGAGCGAGCTATGGTAGACACCAAGCTCACACCTAAACAGGACAGTCTCATGGCAAAGGATATTTCCTCTAAAGTCCCCCCAAGGCCAGCAAAGACGACTGATCCTGTGCCTAAGAGTAGCCCCACCCCTCCCAAAGAGTCACCACAGCAGAGACCAGTAGTACCTCCTCGGAGGCCACCACCGCCCAAGAAAACCTCCTCCTCTTCCAGGCCCCTTCCTGAGACCAAAGTGCCGCATCGAGAGGCGAATGAAGTCAAGGCTGCTCCAGCTCTTGGCCGACCCATGCTTGTCCCTCCAAAGGCCAAACCTTTCCTGCCTGGTCCAGGCAGCCAAGAAGAGGTCAAAGTAAAAAGTGGGCTTGGGCCAAAAGCAGCAGCCAAGCTAGGAGAAGCAAGGGAGAAGCCAGCTGCTGTACCTTTCCCCACTGCGGAAGTCCCCAAAGATACATTATATGTGGCTCTGGCCAACTTTGAAGGGGATGAGGAGACCAGTGGCTTCCAGGAGGGGACTGTGTTTGAAGTACGTGAAAAGAATAGCAGTGGCTGGTGGTTCTGTCAGGTCCTAAGTGGAGCGCCTTCTTGGGAAGGCTGGATTCCTTCCAACTATCTAAGAAAGAAGCCATAGTTCCCACTGTCCTTGTAGGATCCATCCTGCCAAGATCTCCATTGGTTTCACCTGGGTATTTAATTAGCTTCTTAACTTATCATTTTCTACAAGGCTTTAAAAGGAAAGGATTCCATAGTGCATTGGACTTTCTCTTGACTCCTGAGCAGTAATGATCACGGAGAGTGCATCCCCCAGCCTCAATGCAATTCAATTCGGTTCCTTGGCAGTTGTCCCTCTTGTAGGAGATTCAGTCCATCCTCAGTGGTAGTCTCCAGGCCAAATGGCCAACTCTGATCCTATTCCTCAGTATTTTCATCTGTGATATGAGAGGGTTGGATGAGACCAAGGTCCCTTCTGTGTTTTCAATTAACCATAGAAATTACTGCTTGAAGTGGGGGCAATGGGTTCCCGTTGGATCACGAGCAGCCATTCATCCGCTTGCTCTCACATAGCATCCAAGAACCAGGAGCAACCCTTTCCGCAGATTATGCTGGTATCCAGAATGTAACTAGCAAAGGCACTGAGATACCAGATCCCACAGCAGACCTCTGAGCACCAAAAAGTTAATCAGCCTTGGTCAGACACGAAGCCAGGCCCAGTGTCTTGCTATATGATAGGATAGGCCTTGCTATATGATTCCCCTTTTGCATGACCCAAGTTCACCTTCTCCATTTAGCCTTTCCTAAAAGCCACTCGTTCCCATTTTTGTTGTTTGCAGAAATACCTGCTGCCACAAAGGGCCTGTGTGCTTTTTCTAATGTTAACAGGTCTTTCCTTCATTAAGGTTATGGTCATATTTGACTTGGTGAGGAACAATCTTTACTCACATGCCATGGAAGTAGAAGAGGACAAGGACAGAGGTCCGCTAAACCTGCCCTTTTTTTTGTTTGTTTTTGATTTTGCACTCTTAAGAAAGCTTTATGTCCTAGAAGGGTGATTCCTACCCTAAGGCAGCACAGCATTCAGTATATGCTTTGTTCATCACTTTATCCCAGGGTTACCTAGAGCTGGTATCAGCCACATTTTTCTCTCAGTATGGTGCTGTTCAGATATGGGAACCTGTCCTTCATGGGCAGCCCAACTCTAATTGGGGAATAGAGGAAGGAAGGCCCAAAATAGGAATTGACAGCTAGCTGATGCAAGCTAGGACAATGGAGCCATTTGGCTCCCAAAAGCTGTGAGAAAGGGGTTCTAAATGTTCCTGCTTCTACACTGATTACAAAGCCTTCCTCTCCCCCCAACCCCATCACTTTCTCTACTTACCACTCCTTTTTCCTGAATGCTTCTCTCAGTATCTCATCCTGATTATTCTTTAGGATTCCAGGAGGAATACTTGTGTGTTAAGTCTACAGCAACTCATTTTTTAGATAGGAAGAAATGACCATGGTTTAGTGACGTAGCTGCTAGAATCCCATGATGTTGGTGAGGTAAGAGGCAGGGCTCCAATGACTACTGCAGCAGTTGGTGGGAGTGGGGGTGGGGAGAAAAGAGAAAAGACCCCTGAATGACTAGCCTCTTGAATCCCCAGCTCAGAGCCCAGTCTTTAATCAATAAGATCTTATGAAGCGCCTACTTTGTGCCATGCATTATGTTAGGGGCCCTGCCCTCAAGAAGCTGACATACTGTTGGGAAGTCAACATGTACAAAGGAAAATATATACTAAATACAAGATAATTAGAGGGCTGTAGTGGTACTGCTAGTGGCTGAGGATATCAGAAAAGACTTCCTGTAAGAGGTGACAATGAGCTGAACTTTGAAGGCAAGGAGAAAGGATGCTAGGAGGTGGAGGTGGGTGAGAGTTGCCATTATTCAGCTCCAATTGGACTGATTCCCACTAACGCTCTGCTTCTCTCAGTACCCCACATCTGTAAAACATCTGCGTTTCCCAGTGTTTTTGCATCTGTTATCTCACTTGGCCCTCACAGCCTTGTGAGTCAAGTTGGGCAACACTTATTTACCCCACTTGACAGATGAATCACAGAGTCACATTTTGTTAATGTCACCCAGCCAATTTGTGAGATAACCAAGATGAGAACCCAGCCATCGTAAATGGTAGTCCAGAGACCAGACTGTCAGCCTAAAAGAAACCAGGACTAGGCAGCATGATTTTGGGGAAGAGCGGTAGGTTTGGAATCAGACAACCTGGGTCTGAATTCCAGCTCCACCAGTTAAAACCTGCGTGACCTTGGGAAGTCATTTAGCATCTATGAGCCTCAGTTTCCTCAACTGTAAAAATGAAGGGGTTGGACTAAATGAACTTTAAGGTACCTTCTGACTTTAAATTTGTGATCCCATGATCTCCTGTGGAAGAAACAAAGGGGGCTAGGGCTTCAGGTGACAGGTGATACATTTGAAAGCAGGAATGTACTTTTCTTCCTGTAGCTCGTTTCTAGGAACAAGCCAGCTCTAGACTACCCCTTCACTGCATTAATGTCCATTTTCTTGGGAAGACAACTCCCCATACACATCCTTAATACTTCTGGGATGTGTTGCTTTATTAAAGAAGTGGCCATTGAAAACCCTTGGATAGGAAAAAAGACTTGAATCCACATTTTCCCTGGATTCCACAGTGCATGTTAATGTCATGTCCTTCATTCATCCCTTCCTCTAAGGGAAGGGTAGCCCTGGGGAACCTACCACCTGGTGCCCCGGGACTGATAGACTTGAGTGTTTCTCCTGTTCCTGACTGGCCCCCTCTAGCACTGTCCTCAGAAACCACTTGGAAAGATGAGCCGAGGATAAAGAACTGCAGCGACTCTGAGAGTAACCTTTGCAAGTCTGAGCACTCAGATCCCCTCGGTCATTCCTAGACCCTAGTTATCAGAGAAAGCAGCTACCTTAAGTTTGATCGGTGTTGAGCTAATTTTTGACAAACGTTCCTTTTGCTAGCTTACCTGATGCTTTCCTGAATTTGGCTTCATTTTGGAAAGGAAAACCATATATTTTGTTACAGTCTTGCTTCCTAGTTTCATTCATCCATTCACCTAAAATTTACTGAGTGCTTATTATATGCAAGGCAGCATGCTAAGCACTATGGCAGAGGCATATGTGAATATAACCCAGATCCTTGGCCTTAAGGATCTTTGAGGTTTCTACCAACCTAAGGTGATCTGACTTCCTGTCAGAGTCATTCTGCAGCTGGTGTCTATCCAAAGGCAACGGCACCACCTCGCTCTTCACCTGTGTTCTAGGGATTTTATTGCAAATTAAAGTCATTGAATTATGTGGTGATCCTCTAACTGGTGTCAGCTACATCAGAAGCCACAGATCCTGACTTTCTGCAGCAGCCTTTCAGTTTGAAGCTATGGCCCAGGTCGTAATTTCTCTTTTCTCTTGTGTTTCACTAATGGATACTTGCCCAACCGCGTGGCGATGGAGTTGGTCAGTGTGATCTGATGGTCTTTTCCATTCTTGCTTGGTGACGTATTTACATAATCCACTGGGATTATCGCAATAATGTCAAGGATCTGTGATTTAGGTTGGCATGGATACCCTTGCACTAACACTGATTGTGACACCTCTCTGCCTTGGAAGATGTTCTTCATGAGCTGCCATGAAAAATCCACCATGCTTCAGTCTCCTGGGTGATGAGCCTCTTGTAACATAGCAAAACCAGTCTTTGGATCAAAGACATTCATTCGGTCGGCAAGCCTCTTTGTGACTAACACTGCAGAAAATGGTCAGCAGTTGACTCAAAAATGCAGCCTTCGGTCTATTGTGAAAGTAGATTCTGAAGGGCTATCAGCAATGTTTTTATGAAATCTTTTTTTAAAATCAAATGAACATTCATTTAATCATAAAGACTATACGTTCCCCACACCACCCCAAACAGGTCAAAGACAGGTTAGCTTCTTGCATAACCTGATATCCTGTTCTGCACCAAAATTCCATGCTAAATGCCAACTCAAGAGGCACAGGAATGTGATTGTTTACCACACTATGTCAAACGCTTAATCTCAAATCTGCTGTACTAAAACTGCTTGGGGTGAATCTGCATCATAGAACAACCAGTTTCTCTTTTAGCCTCAATCCTAATACCTCTTTGATAAGAATATTTGCTGCATTAAGTTGTATTCCCAAGCAATGTTGTACAGGGGAAAATGCACTGGACTTGCAATCCAATACCTGAATTCAAATTACAGCCTTCTCACTTACTACCTGTGTGACCTTGTGCAGCTCACTTAACTTCTCTGTAAAAAGAGGATATTGGAATAGATGTCCCCCCCAGGTTCCTTCCAGCTGCAAATCCATGATTCTGTCATCCTGTACCACCTGCTTTAAAGAAAGTCAGACCTCTGTCCTTGAATGAGGTATTTCTTTTCATGTTAGGGCACTGGGGAATACTAGAAGTCCATTGGGCTCCACATCCAGCAGTAAGAAATACTCAACTGGATCAGCCCCAGTAGAGACTCTGCCCATTTGCCTCATGTAATTTTCAAAGTGGAGCTCTTAGATTGAAAATATTCTTGGGTGTGCGGGGCACACACAGCCCACGTAGAATTCTCTTGCCAAGTAAAGCTCTGAAGAGCAAACTCTCCACCAAAAAACCAATGAAAGATGGAAAACCAATTGCCATGAAGTTTAGTTTGAAAAGGCCGTGCCACGGATCACATGGGCATGGTAGTGGCAGTCGTGGCTCCTAGCCAGTGTGCCGCTGTGTGGTGGTCAGTGAGTGTCCTGTTCCCCACAGAAGTAGAAGGCACAGTGCCTGCCTTTCAGTAGCTTACATCGAGATGTGGTCAGGACCACATAGGAAATATGCAATTCGTGGCATGGCTGCTATTCCCTCAGTCTAATTTTGCTTTGTTTTTCTTTCCTTACTACTGCTGCTATGACTAATTGATATTGAGGCCCACTGAATCACAGTAGGGTCTTTGTTCTTTTGACTGTTAAGTCGGATACCAAACAAGAGTTTTAACCTGCAGCCTTTCCCCTGGATTCCTTAGATCTAGTTTCCCAAGTCCACCTCTTCTAGACATACATGCTGCAATCAGTCAGTAATACCAGAGACCAAAGATTGCCTGTTACCAGACCCCCAAAGTCTGATTTGGTAAGAAAAGGATGAGTCATAGAAATTGCAATGGCCACATTGGCATCATTGATATAGTGTTGGTGCCATGACAGCTGCTCCATCCTTTGACTTGGCAGAGCTATTCTTAGACCTTCCCCTTACTCCCACCCCTAATTCTCCACCTCTGGCAGCCAGTATCAGGAGTACTGGTGTCTGAGGACACCCCCAGCAATACCTGCTACTCCCAGACCAGTCCTGTTGAATCTGTGGCCCAGACTGGGTGGATCCATGATCCGTACCTAAACCAGGAGCCATCAACTGCTACTTTGTGCCATCAGTATTTTTCAAATCTAACTAACTGCATAGGATTTCACTTTTTCAGCGGGGCAAGTTAATTTTAAATAGTTCTCTGCTGACTTCCTTTGCTCCAAGGCCCCTCATGTGGCCCTGTGTCTTGTTAAAACATTCCATGTGCCATCCTGTTTCTGACCCTTCAATTCCAAATTAAGCATCCTTAACCCCAAACAGGAGTAAGAGGCTAGATAGAACCTCTGTCATCCTAAGGAAGGTTTTTCAAAGGCCTTTCCTTAGTGACGCAAAAGAGCAATAGTTGTTACTTTCTTGGAGGAAAAAAAGGGGACGATTTATTATGTTGATTACCAGCAATAAGAACAGGGCCCCCTCCTATAACCTAGATCAGGAACATTAGTATATCCAATCTCATTTCTCATAACCCTTAGGGAATGAGTCCTGCATGGACCGAATCCAAACACTTTGTGTGTTCCATAGAATAAAGCTGAAGAATCTTGGCTATTTCAGTACTTCTCTTACTCGACAAACAAATTCTCTGACGGTTATTTTTGTTTGTTTCCTTATAACACATAAACTTATATAAGTATATATGTGAGGGGGAAAGGGGATCAGAACATTAACTGTAGCATGTGTAGGCTGTATACTTCACCGTTAGACTTTTTTTTTCTTTCTTTTTTTTTAAATAAAACAAAATGCTTGACTGGTTTCAAGCTTCATTGTGAATGCAGAGTCTGTGTATTTTATTTGGTTAAACTAAAAAAAGGCACAAAGGATAGGAGAGAAGGCACACACAGAACTAGCTTTGTGTCCTAGGATATGTGGGAAAGATGGTCAATCTGGTAAATTATACATGCTCCCCCTCATGGATGCTTTTCTGGGATTCCCAGAAATTTACACAAGTCGTTCACTGGGTACGTGATTAATTCTTGTGGCAGGAAAACACATTTGCCAGTTCCCTTTCGTCTTTTTTCCTGGCGGTCCCCTGATCATTGCAATGAAGGGAAAAAACCTATACCAGTTGAGGTTTATAATGGAGGAAAATCTAAGGGGGAAAAAAATTAACATGGTAGAGTGGAGAGAGAGCACTGATTATAGAATCAGAGAACCTGAATTCAAATCCTACCTTTAGTGCTATTTGTGTGACCTCTGGGCACATTATAACTTCCTAGGTGTCCATTTTCTCATTTATGAAAATGAAGGAGGAGGAGAGCGTATTGGGAAGAGTATATACAAGCTCTGGAATTCAAAACCCACTTCTGCTGATTACAACCTGTGTGACCTTGGCAAGTCATCTAACTCCCCTAGGCTTTACAATGTCTTTACAATGAAGGGGATGAACCTAGACAATAATAATAATAGCTAACATGTTAATTTCATATTTATTATTTTATTTTATATTTTAATAATTTAATATGAACATCAACTGTGTGTCAGGGATTATGCTGAGCACTTTACAACTATTATCTTACTTGATCCTCATAACCTAGGTAATAGGTGCTATTATTATCCCCATTTACAGGTGAGAAAATCGAAGCAAACAGAGGTTACATTACTTACCTAGGGCCACACAGCTAGTAAATATCTAAGGCCACTTTTGAATCCAAGTCCTCCTGACTCCAGGCCAGGTGCTGCATCCCCCGTGCCGCCTATCTGTGCCTGACCTCTGAGAGAGCTTCGAGCTCTAGATATATCATCTTAAGTAGGACTTTCAAGTCTTAAAGACAAACTAGATTCTAAGACTCTCCAAAAGCTGTGTGAGGGAGAAAAGAATTCTCCCATCTTTCATGCCCAAGGGAAGGCACTGGAGAACAAGAGTCAGAGATGAGCTGTGAAAAGAAGACCTCTGGCCCATCAGAATTATTTCCTGAGCCCCTTTGGAGGGCAAAACCCACATGATTAGTTGAATGCAAATCAACAAATATTTGTTAAGCACCTGCTATGTTCTGGACATAGTCTGGAGAAATAAAGACAAAAATAAAACTGGCCCTGCTTTCAACGAACTTAAATTCCACCGAGTTGGCGAATGCATGCCTCTAATGAGGCTTAAGTGTTAGGTTCAGCCCCTTTATGGTCCAGTAACTGTTGTACAGGGAAAATAGCCCCAGACTACAGTCCTGATCTCAGCCTGCTTTTTCACCCATGTATACCCTCGGTCCCAAAAGAACATGGATGTGTCAACATGAGTTGATCCCCACTAACAGAAAACACCTCTGACTGCTGATGAAGGGTGGATCATACAAAGGAGGGACTATGATTATGACTATAATGGGCTGAATTGTGAATTCCTAAAACAAAGTAATATCCTAGTAGGCTTATGTCCCCATTCCCCTGCTACTAACCTTATTGTCCCACTTGAAGGTAAAAGGAGGGAGTGGCAAGTGTATTATAAAAGAAAGGAGGGAGAGGGAGGAGTATTCCCAAAGCAGTTTGCCTCAGCTCAGGAATGGGGAAAATGAAGTTGGAAAAGGAAGAGCAGAAACCCAGCTTTATCTCCCCCCTTCAGCTCAGGCACTGTCTAACCCAACCCCTATAAACTCACTATAAACAGTGACCCCGACAACAACCCAAATTTTCAACAGGTGGGTGAATTGCATGTATACCATTAAATAATTTTTAAACTTTTTTTAATTTTACATTTAATTTATGGAATAAAACAAGCATTTCCATGACAGTACAATAAAAAAGCTGATTACAAATGAAGCTATGAGGCTATTATATACAACTTGCTATTCCTTTCAAATATACAACAAAATTGTCCTATAATTTTTTTTCTGCCATTTCCCCTAGAAATGGTACCATTAGACACAAATAGGTGTATATATGTGTGTATATATATATATATGTATATATATATATATATATATATATATGTATACACACACATACATATGTAAAATTATTCTATACATCTATTTATCAATTCTTTCTCTGGATGCAGATAGCACCTTTCTTCCTACATCCTTTACAATTAATTTGGGTGTTTATAATAGTCAAAATAACTAATTTACTCAAAGTTGTTCTTAAAACAATCCTGCTGTTACTGTATACAGTCTTCTCTTGGTTCTGCTCATTTTGCTCTTCGTTATTTCACTCATCTTTCCATGTTTTTCTAAAATCATTGAGCTCATCATTTCTTATAGCACATGATGCTATACTTGGAAAATCCCAAAGACTCAACTAAAAAGTTAGTTGAAACAATTTTAGCACAGTAGCAGGATGTAAAGTAAATCCACATAAATCATGAGCATTCCTATATGTCACAAGCAAAATTTTTCAGGAGATAGTAAAAAAAAATACCGCATTTAAAATAACTCTGGATGGTGTAAAGTACCCGGGAGTATACCACTAAATAAGAACAGTCCTCACAAACCTAGGTATCTACATTTAGTCTTTTACTCCAAAACCCTCTATGGACCATTGATTCAAATTAACTTAACAAACTTAGCTAGCACTATGGTGCTAGCTACTTAGATAAAAATGAAGTAGTCCTTGCTCTTAATTTTTGTTGGATAAAAACATCAGAAAATTACCCTGGGCCCTCTTTCCTAGGGTTGGGCTCCTTTTCCTTTCTCTGGCTCTTTATACCGCCATCTCAGAGCCCCAGGAAAAAATATTTAAAGCTTAGATATGGCTTATGTCTAGTATCTTCCCCAAAGAGGGAGGGTAGAAAGGTACTCGATGTACAATGTAAGTCAGGGTTTGATCAGCTAATTATTTCATCTACACAAAAGAAATATTGTATACACAAGACAAGCATACAGTGACAGAACTTAAAAGAAGGTGTGGAAATAACATGATTACTATAAAACTCTCCCAGGACGGTTAGATATAAAACCCTCAAAACACAAAGCAGTTTATTGGACTGCTAATTAAGCATTTCACATTTTACCTTAGCCCTGTGCTGTCCAAATGCTTCCTTCTAAGTCCATGCCTTCTGCCAAGTCAGATCAAGGATTGGGTTTACCCTCTTGCCAATGGCTGTCTCCTTTATATAGTGAATGTAGGGAGTGCACACCCACAGTGCAGCAGGCATCAGACAAGGACCCAAGATCTCCTGACCTCTCCAACTCACAAGGCTGTCTCCAAGCCTGGACACATCCATGTCAGGATTGCTGCTCAGTCACCTTTGGTCAGGCAAAGAAGCACGAAGTGGAAGGAGCTGAAGTCAGTACCTTTTAAAGATCAGCAGCGTTTCCTGCTCAATGGTCAATAAGGGTGCTTTCCTTTTTTCTTTTTTGGGGGGCAAGCAATCTGGGTTGAGTGACTTGCCCAGGGTCACACCACTAGTGGGCTGAGGCAGGATTCAAACTCAGTTCTTCCTGACTTCAGAGCTGGTGCTCTATCCCCTACACTACCTAACTGCCCCGGTAGGGTTATTTTCTTCATCATCTCAGAGTGCAAGCCCTTCGGCACTAAGCCCTGGATGTCACGGGAGTTGTCAGAGAAGTCCCGTGGACACTCCCTGGGAGAGCCCCTGCAGACCTCAATACTACACATTTCATAGGTACAATCACTCAACACGCATAGAAGTGCTTAATCCCAGTCTGATTAGAGTCTAACTCTAATCCTAGCAACCTAGCCAAAATAAAAACTATACAGATCACATCTCTGAAAATTAATCTAACAGGAACCCAAACCAAAATCCTTAGTCAAAACAGCATAGTACAATGGGGGAAAGTGTTGAGTTCATATGTCAGAGGATCTGAGTTTGAAATCTAGTCAGTCAGTCAACAAGTGTTTATTATGCACCTCTTATGTGTCAAGTGCAGGACCAAGTACTGGAAATACAAATACTAATGCAAAGAAAGACAATTCCTACCCTCAAGGAACTTACATTCTAATGGAAAGACAATACAAAAAAGAAAGCTAAAAAAGGGGGAAGGAAGTACCCAGAAAGCTGAAGGAATATGCAGCCTGGTGAAAAATTAAAAAATGATTGGCCTGGACACCTTCCTTAATATCTATATGATCTTGGGCAAGTCACTTAACTGCTCAAAGCCTTAGTTTCCTCATTTGTTCCTGGCACAGAGTATACTTAGTAAATTGTTGTTGTTGTTCAATTGTGTCCAACTCTCCCTGACCCCATTTGGGGTTTTCTTGGCAAAGATACTGGAGTGGGTTGCCATATCCTTCTCCAGCTCATTTTACAGATGAGGAAACTGAGGCAAATGGGGTTAAATGACTTGCCCAGGGTCACACAGCTACTAAGTGTCTAAGGCTAGATTTGAATTCAGGAAGATGAGTCTTCCCCAATGCTCTATCCATTGTGCCGCCTAACTGCCTAAAATTCTTGCTGACTGCCTATAAAATAAGGGATTTCCACCAGGCTGCACTGCTCTGGACATGAGTCTGCTGGGTACTTTCTCCCCGTTGCCTGTTTTAGTTTCCTTTCGTGCGCTGTCTTCCCCACTAGCATGTAGGCTCCTTGAGGACAGGGATGGTCCTACCTGATGGTCTTTAAGGTTCTTCCCATCCCTCCTTCTAGGATTTGCAACACCAGATTCTGACTGTGGTATCAATCATGGCAGGGGAGCAATGTCAGAACCCAATGCTGCTCCCTACCCCCAATCAGGACGCCAGCAGGAGTCCTCCCTGTCTCTGGATGCAACATAAGGTACCCCTGAAGACTGGCACAAATCTTTGTGGCGCTATGGTGGCAAGGACAGGGAACCTCTCTCAATTCTCTATGTGCTTTCTAAAGAGCCCTGTGTGGCAGATAATGC